AATTCTTGTCACCCTCAACTTGAAAGGATTGCTAACTTAGATTAAAATACTAAGATAAATTTCTTTGGATTCTAAAAATTTTGCTCTGAAGTTTTATGCTAATCTTAAACCTATAAGACTATGGACTTAGGAATCTGCTCTTCTGCCGTCATTGGAATGCAATCCTATGAGCATATAATCATGATGATGAAAATAAATAAAAAAAAAGAAAAATAAAACTCCTCCCTTAATTCTGATGACCAAGTTTCACAGATTATATATAATTAGGAAAATGCCTTCTTAGTTAATGATACTCTTTGTGAATAGGCTCAGTTTTGGGGTTTTTATTTAAATTTTCTTCATATATTTCGATTACATTTCTTTCCCTTCCCTGACCTTTCCCAGATCTTCTCCTCCTCCCCACCCATCCATTTTAATGTTTTCTCTTTCTCAGAAATACAATTGAAAAGTCAAAGCTGCCCCCCCCCCCAAAAAAAAATCCCAGTAAGATGCTTGGGTGGTGGCAGTGCACACCCTTAATCCCAGCACTTGGGAGGCAGAGGCAGGCGGATCAAGACCAGCCTGATCTACAAAGCAAGTTCCAGGACAACCAGAGAAACCCTGTCTCAAAAAAAGAAACTGTCTTCAAAAATCTAACCAAACCAGCCAAACAAACAAAAATCTCAGTAAGGACAAGAGGCAAAACAAAAAAACCCAAAATACCCATCACCCCTCCCCCCCAAATATCTACACAAAAATGTCTGGTTTCTGTTGCCTCTTCTCCTGGGCATGGAGCATGCCTTGGAGTGTGGTTGATAAACCCAGTGGTACTAAATTGAAGAAGACTGATTTCTCCCTCTCCCAGCAGTTAGGGGGGTCAGACTTTGGTCCACTCTCCCCTATTAGTGATGAAATTTTGTCTGGTTTGAACTGGTGCAGGTCTTGTGAGCTTCGTGTGTATCAGCCATGTTGTGTGTGGTAGGTGTTTCCTTGGAGAAACCTACTACTGTGCTTCTTAGAACCATTCTTCCTCTTCCTTCAGAGATTCCTTGTGGGGAGGGGACTTCATAATCGCATCCCATTTAGGACTTAGATGAGTGCTCCAAATTTTCACACTCTGCACATTGTCTAGTTGTGGGTCTCAGAATTACTCTACAGCAAGAAGCTTCTCTCTGAGTTGAGCTGATGCAATGATGGCCTGAGTCCCAGCCTGGTGTGGCTGCTGTGGGTCCCTAGTGGAGACTGTTCTATGGGTCTAGCAGGAGATGTGTTAAAAGGAAAGAAGTAGGGGAACCCTGGGTCCTGCACCAGGAGGACAAGTCCCTAGAGGATGGAGGCAGACTGAGAGGAAGTGCTCCTCAAGAATGAGTTTTTGCCCTGGTGGCGCACGCCTTTAATCCCAGCACTTTGGAGGCCGAGGCAGGCAGATCTCAGTGAGTTTGAGGCTAGCTTGATCTGCAAAGTGAGTTCCAGGACGACAAGGACTGTTACAGAGAGAAACCCTGTTTCAAAAAAAAAAAAAAACCCCCAAAAAAACCCAAACAAACAAAAAACCCAACTTATTTGACAATGAGTTTTAATTGGTTTGACTGCAGGGAGTCAATTAACACAAATGTATGGAGCTTCTGTTGAGTGTACTTTCCTATTTTGGAAATTATCGTGTTTCATGAACTTAACAAACTATAAATTAGAAGCATTTAAGGGATATTCTGATATATTAAATATATGGATGCTAATAATTGTTCTACTAAGAATTCTTAAGGCATTTAAGGAGAATCTTAGGCATTCTTGGAAAGTTCTCTCACATGGGTTAACTTTTGATTTTTAACAGTTTCAGTCGAGTGTGCCTAAGTGGTTGTTTCTGAGTTGGTGCTGAGACAGGTGAACTCACCGGTTCCTCAGTCCTCTCTGCGGAGTTTCAGTCCCCAGGGTTGTTTCGGTGCTAAGAAAACAACTCAGCCTTCTAATGATACAGTGCTTGTCATTTTTGTTTTGAAAGCTAATTTTTTAAAAAGTTTTAAAAGCAGAGGAATTTAAATCTCAGAAGGAAATTTATATAGGACTGCTTTGTAGCCTGATTTTTTTTTTTTTTTTTTACTGTTTTTTTTGAGATAGAGTAGTATTTTGTATCCCTGCTGGGTCTATTACTATATGCAGTCTAGGCTGGTCGTAAACTCACAAGCAATCCTCTTGCCTCAGCCTCACAAATGCTGGGTTACAGATGTTGAGCCATACATACCATACCTGGTTTCCTATAACTCAACTCTAGGGACTCACATGGTGGAAGAACTGATTCCCTAAAATTGTCTTCTGATACATACACACCCTGATCAGTTTCTTCCTTTCTACCCCCCTCTTTCTTTTCTTCCTTTTAAAAAGTTAACCTTACTGGGGTTGAACCCAGAGTCTGAGGTTTGCCAAGCAAACCTGAGCCATAACACCCAGCCCTGGTTCCTTTCTGGAAGCCATTAGCCTTTGTAAAGTATAAGAGCAAAGCTCTGGACCAGCTTTCCTCTTACTTAGGCCACACGGCATTAAGAAGCAGTGTGGTTTCTTTCCTGTGACATCTTGTTCTGTGTAAATTTAACATAATTTCTTCAGATTGATCTAAACATAAACTTTAATCTTTGGCGATTCTGTGAAGTATTTTCTGTTTCCTTCTTTTTCTCTCTCAGGCAGGTTTAGAATTTTTTGCCTTCTAACAGCTGGCATTACAGGTGTACTGGCACATCTGACTATAGAATACTTTATGTATGTTTGTGACATAATTTCATCCCAGGGTGGCTTGAACATAGCCAAAGATGACCTAGAACTTCTGATTCTCTTGTTTGTGCTTCCCAAGTTCTGGGATCACAGGTGTGCTTCACCATGCCTGTTTTATTTTTGCAGTGTATGCATGGGCTTGCTTGTGCTGTGTGTCTGAGGGCTTCTCAGACAAGTTGGCATTGGGATGACTTATAGGATTTGCTTGTTCCCACCTCTCATCATTGGCTTTACAAGTGTGGGTCACTGTGCCCAACTTTTATCTGGATTCTGGGGGTCCTCACATTTGCACAATGGGCACTGTAACCACAGAACTACTTCCCACAGCCCAAGCCCAGTTTTTATGTCATGCTGGGGATCAAATTCGTGTGTGTGTGTATATATATACACATTTATACAGATATCACATATATGGTAGGTCTTATGATGGTTGGTCTTGTCAACCTGATGACATCTAGAATAATCTGAGACAGGGCTCTAGGCATGGGGTGGCTCTAGACATGGGGTGGGGGTCATCTTAGATTAATTAACTGTGGGCAGGACCATTCCCTGAAGGGCATCTTGGACTCTCAAAAATGAAGAAAGTGAGCTGAGTACTAGAACGCATGCATTGATTGATTCATTGCTCTCTGCTTGCTGATTGATGTGGTGCCACAGATGCTTTGAGCTCCTGCAGTGAAGGACTGGACTCTTGAATTGTGAGCCAGGATGAACCCTCTGCATGTGGAGACCTGAAAAGGGCATTCCCCCTCTGACTTGGAGTTGTGGATATGCAGGGATTCTCAGTTTGTTATGTTGGCGAGGGATCTAAACTTTCCTCTGTGTGATTATGCTGCACATGTTCCTAACTGCTGAGTCATCTCTTTAGCTTTTGTTAGAGGATTTTATCACACCAACAGAAAGATAGACTAGACAGGAGCAAGTATGCTACAAGCTGAGCCACATCCCTAGCTTTAATACAGTTCTGAGTATGAAATTGGATTAAAGGCTATGAATTAGTATTTTCATAATCTGAAATAATATATTATTTAAAATATTTGGGTTTATATTTAAACCAGGTAAGGTTCTCTTGTCAATAAAGTCTGTCTTAACATTTGTCTTTATTTGCCATGTTAAATTATTTAATAGAAAACTTGTCATTATAACCATCAAGTGTATGAGTATAAATTTAGTGCTGAATACAGTGTTGTGCATCCATAATCACCATGTTGTTAGATCTTTCATTATCCCAAAATGAAGTCAGTAAAACATTTTTTTTCTCAGCTGTACTCTTATTGCAGATATTTAAGTTGTTTTCCAGTTTCTACCATATTTACGTACCAATTTATTCATAATTTGGATTGTTTTGTTTTTTGAGAGAGTTTCTCTGTAGTCCTGGCTGTCCTTGGAACTCACAGAGATCCACCTGCCTCTGCCTCCCAAGTGCTGGCTGGTATTAACATAACTTAATGGTGCTAAATTCAGCACCTTCCCCATGTTAGGCAAACATTCTGCCACTGAGCCGCGTTATCCTTCCTTTTTATTTTTACACTGTTAGGAACTGAGCAGTTTTCTTACCTGTTATTTCCTCGTCATAGCAATTCCTCAGTGGTAGGAAAATCCTCTAAACAATAGATAACCTATGTGAGTAGACATTAAGAATATCTTTAAAAATTGGTTTAAGTATCTATTGTTTTTTTCTACTGAAGAACTGATCCTGATATAATTTCTTTTTTGTATGTCTTTATTTTATTATGTATAAAACAGCACATACCCAACAATCAAAGAAAATTTCAAGTAGTACAAATATTACAATTTTAAAAATAAATATCACAGTGTGATAAGATAATTTGGTATTTTTTCCATTTGGAGGGACTTAACAAGAATCAGGATATCTGTAGTTTAGATGGGGATTGAGGCTTTTTTCTTTTTTGATATAAAATAATATATAATTTTTATTTGTATGTATTTATTTTTTATCCATTTTACATACAATGACACACAAATTCTTTTTTTTTTAAACACAAGACTATCCTTGTAGCCTAGGGCTTGAATTTACTATATAGCTGGGGTGACCTTGAACTTCTGATTCTCTTTACAGCCCTCTGAATGCAAAGATTACAAGGGTACTAGGGGTCAAACCCAGGGGTTCAAATGAACTGCATTCTTACCTTAAGTGTGTGCGTTTTGTTTAACTGATAAGAGATATTTTAAAATTAAAATCAAGGTTATATAAACTAAGTGTACTTAAATCTAATTTAGCTTTTGCTTTCTCCTAGGATTGGCAGCCACCATTTGCTTGTGACGTTGATAAACTTCATTTTACGCCACGTATCCAGAGGCTAAATGAACTGGAGGTAATGTTCTGTTTATCTGTGTTGCAGAGGAGTACTCTTTGAAGATCTCTCTGTCACTTGTGTTACAGTCTTGGTGAAATGAAAGCATGGCCAGTAATTGATACTCAGGCCACTGTAGCAAACCAAATTTCATTAAAGATACTAATTTTTGTCAGTTTTCTTTTTGTCTATTTAATTAATACATATGAGTTATTTTTATTAGATAATGATCATTGGAATTTTAAAGTTTATTTTGAAAATAATTTACTTTTGAGAACAGTGAGTGATAATTTACTTTGAGAAGAATGCAGTAGGAAAGGTTTTTTAATCCCTAATTTTCTTTTATGTATGAAATTTACATTTTTTAATTGGAATTTTTTTATTTATGTGCATTGGTGTTTTGCATGCATGTCTGTCTGCATGAGGATGTTGAGTACTCTGGAACTGGAGTTAACAGATAGTTGTGTGTGCTAGGAATTGAACATGGATCTTCTGGAGGAGTATCCAGTGCTCTTAACTGCTGAGCCATCTCTCCAGCCCTAGATTTAATTTATATTTTATTTTTGTTGTTTTGAGACAGGGTTTCTGTGTGTGACGGTCCTGCTGTCCTAAATTCACTTTAGACCAGGCTGGCCTCAAACTCAAGAGATCCCCCATTCTCTGCCTCTTGAGCTGGGATAAAGGCATGTACTTCTACCGGCTAAATAGATAAAAGTTTCAAAATTTTTATTTCATGTGTATGGCTGTTTTGCCTGCATGTATGTCTGAATTATGTGCATGTCTGGTGTCCTTGGAAATCAGAAGAGGATATCAGATAACCTGGGACTGAAGTTACTGATGATTGTGAACAGCCAATATTCTTAAGCCAGACTTAGATTTAGTAACAAACTTTCCCCAAAGAAAAGTGTGGCATTGTCAGTTATTTAGAGAGCAGATAAAGTTGTTTTTGTTTGTTTCTTTACTACAGAACTACAAATTTCTTTTTTTTAAATGTATTGATGTTTGCCTGCATGTATATGTGTTAGATCTCCTGGAACTGGAGTTACAGACAGCTGTGAGCTGCCATGTAGGTGCTTGGGAATTGAACCCAGGTTCTCTGGAAGAGCAGCCAGTGCTCTTACTAACTGCTGAGCCATCGCTCCAGCCCTACAGAAAGTTTTAAAATACAAGATAGAAGGGCTAAATAAATAAATGGCTGAGTAGTTAAGAGCATTTCTTGTTCTTGTAGTGAACCCTGGTTCATTTCCTATCTAGCACTCATGTGGTGGTTCACAACCAATCATCACTCTAGTTCCAGAGGAACTAGATACTTTTTGATACTTCCTTCTGGTCTGCAGCTATTTGGTATGTGTGCTGTACATTTACATACATGCAAAAAACCCCATTCATACACATAAACATTAAAAAGATAGTACAAGATAGAAAATACTAGGTTTTGATAACAAAATCTGATTATATTAGTATTTTACAAGTCTTTAAAAGTTTGTTTAATTTGAAAAAGGGTCTTGATATGTAGCCCATGCTGGCCAAAAATTTACTTTGTATCCTAGTCCAGCTTTTGAATTATAAAGCTGTCTTCCTGCCTTCCTTCCCCTCTGGTTTTATGTGATGCTAGAGATTAAATCAGGGTGTCATGCATGCTTGAGAAGTGCTCTACCAATTGAGCTTCATTTCTGTCTATGAAGCGTTTTAGCCTATTTTCAAAAATTTGTAGTTGAACAAAGGTGGGTAGGTATGAGCCAGGTGTGGTGCCTCCCTTTTAATCCCAGTGCTCAGGGGGTGGAGGCAGGCAATAACTAGTTCAAGGTTGGGCCTGATCTACATAGTGAGTTCAGTGCTAAATGTGACTATATAGTGAGTCCCTAACCTGGAAAAGAAAAGAGAAACGAAGAAAAAAGAGTAGTAGGTATGTAATAACGTGTAGCTTTGGATTACCGTTGGGAATTGCCTGAACACGGATAAAACTCCCAAACTGTCCCCTTTGTGTTTTATACTAAGGGTAACAAAAACTGATTAGAAATGATTTCATAAATAATGTTTATTGTTTTCCTGTGATCTTTAAATTATCAAATAAGGCTTGCAGGCAGACTTTTCTTTCTCGCCTGCCAGTTCCCAAATAATGAACACAGAGACTCAATATTAATTATATTAAAAAGCCAAGAGCTCAGCTTTATTGTAGCTAACTCTTACAACTTAAATGAACCAACCCATTTATATTAATCTATATTCTGCCATGTGGCATTGCCCTGCTATCATCCTGCACCTCCTGTTTCTTCATGTCTGGGCAACAACTCCTGACTCCACCCCTCTTTCCAGTCCTTAGCCTGGTTTTGTCCTCCTAACCTTATCCAGTCCAGCTTTGGGCCAGTCAACTTCTTTATTAAACCAATTTCCCTTAATTTACACAGTGTACAGGAGGATTAATTAAGGTAAATATAGAAAGGCCAGAGTAGTTGGGGATGGTGACACACACCTTTAATGTCAGCATTGAGAGGCAGAGACAGGATGATCTCGAGTTTCAGGGCAGCCAGGACTTTACAGAGAAACCCTGCCCTGAAAAGCAGATTAACAATAAAATTAGAATAAACCATTGCTGATTTTTTTTTTTACAAATAACATTAAATTGTGTAGTTTTCTTAGTTGAAACATCATTCAGAGCAACTATATTTTATATACTTTGCCTATTTCTCTGTTGTATGCAGAAACTATATTGACTGAGAATCTAAATATAGAAATCATAAGCAGTGTATGTAACAGTGATATTTTTCCTTAGGCATAGACAGACAGCACCTCACCTATTTTTTAAATACAACTTAGACAAGCAAACACTCTTGTTCTTAATTTAATAATAAATAAAAATTAGTTTTGTATTTAAATGGTCTTACGAGTGAAAAGAGCATAAGGTTATAGGCAGGAGCTTTAAATTGATACCAAGTACATCAGAATATATACATGCCAGTAGTGTAAGCCACTTGGGGGACGAAAATGGTAAGATTGTTTATACCTGTGATTATGCTCAGCCTTGTGCCATGGGAAAACAAAAATAGGTGAGATTAAAAATGCCTTTTTTTTTTTTTTGGACATTTAGGCCCAAACACGTGTAAAATTGAATTTCCTGGACCAGATTGCAAAGTATTGGGAACTACAGGGAAGTACTTTAAAGATTCCACATGTGGAGAGGAAGATCTTAGACCTGTTCCAGCTTAATAAGGCAAGTGCGGGGCAACTGTCTTAATGCAGTTTTCTTTTTTTACGTTAAGTATCACAGCTCTATCTAGTCTATAAGCCTTATTTCTTTTGAAACACCTCAATGCTGCAAAGAGTCCTTCCCATTTCTGTTGAGATAAGTGGAACCTAAGGCTCAAGGGAATTGAGAAGACTTCAGCTAAAACAGCTAGGCCATAATTCAGTTCTAGGTCCCACTTCTTTGTACCGGAATGATGGCATGCTTGCTGTCTCTTCTTTAAATACAAATTTTAAAGGTAAGAAAGGAGGATCAAGTACTGGGACAGGGGCCTTATTCTTCTGTGGGGAAGTGAGAAGTAGTTTGAGAGTGGTGAAATGTCTGTGAACCACACTGTCAAGAGCTGTTCACATTGTAGTTGAAAATTAATGCCTGGTAGTTTTTCTTTTCTTCTTTTGACCTAGGAAGTGAAAAACATCCAAACAAAAAGCATAGCAACAACAACGAAAATTATAACCGGGAATTTTGTTCTTAGAGTCATACCTAGGTGTAGGGGATTAGAAGTAATTTTCTCTTAACATTTATTTATTCTTTTTTTTTTATTCTATTTTTTTGCTGTTAATAGTTAGTCGCAGAAGAAGGTGGGTTTGCAGTTGTTTGCAAGGATAGAAAATGGACCAAAATTGCCACCAAGATGGGTTTTGCTCCTGGTAAAGCTGTGGGTTCACACATCAGGGGGCATTATGAGCGAATCCTCCATCCGTACAACTTATTCCTGTCTGGAGACAGTTTGAGGGTGAGTGTTGGAGCCAGCCTTGGCCTGTTTTATTTAATTGCTTATTTGTTTGGTACATTTTCTTTGTGGGCAGTGAGACAATGTTAATCATGTTCAGAAAACATTGCTGAATTGATTGATTGATTGAAAAATTTCAGTACTTTGGTTATGGAGCAACTTAAAAGGTTATATTAGAATAAATAAGATTATAAAGAAAATGCCTTTTTACTGTCAAAAACAGCTAAAATCTGTATTTTAGTATAGGACTTGATTATTACATATTTTTAAAAAATGGCATATGCTATTTCAAGCATCCCTGGTTGTCACAAAAAAGTGTGACCTGTGATTTAAGTGGGCTAACAGTTGCTGACTGGGATTTCCAGGGAGGGTGTCAGGTTTATAAAGGAGAGAGGATTTGATGCCGGGTCAAACTCTCAGCAGTTTCGGGTAAATGCTGTAACACCGACCCCGTATTTCAGGGCTCTGGTAGAAAGGAGTGTCAGTCCATTTGCATGGTTTGACATTCTGTTACTAGAGCAGTCGTCAGTCCTATAACTGGAACTATTTCTGTGCAATGGAAAGACTGATAGTTTCTCAGGTCAGAACAATAATAAAAATTCTATCTTAATCCTATAGACCAGTAACACCTAGAATGCTAAGTCCTATATATTTTCATAGCATCTTTGTTTTCTATTTTTTTGAACTTCTTTTTTAGACTAAAAGTGGCTTGTCTGATAACTTTATACTCAGTTTTTTTTTTTTTTATTTTTGCATACTGGTGATCAAACAAGCTCTGCCCATGCTACCTTACCACTGACTGTATCACCCAGTCTCCCAAGTTGGGATGTTGTTTGTGTGTAGCCCTTGCTGTTTTATAATTTTAATTTAAACCAGGCAAGCCTTGAGCTCACCGAGATAATGCTTGTCTCTGCCTAAGTGATGGGATTATAGGTGCTGCCACACTTGGCTTTTATTTTGAGACAAGGTCTTTTGTGTCACAGACTGACCTCAACTTGTTGTATATTTAAGGATGACTTTGAATTTCTAACCATCTTGCCTTCACCTACCAAGTGATGGGATCACAGCATGCACCTCCATTCTCAGTTCATACCATGCTGGAGGTTCAACCCAGGTCTTTTATGCATATGAGACAAGCATTCTATTGATGGAGCTTCACCCCAATCCCTCTCTCCATTTAAAAATGTATGTTAAAGCCAGGTAGTGGCATATGGGAGGCAGAGGTAGGTGGATCCTGAGTTCAAGGCCAGCCTGGTCTACAAGAGCTAGTTACAGGACAGCTAGGACTGTTAAAAAGAGAGACCCTGTCTTGAAAAGCAAACAAAACAAAAAATGTATGTTAGCCGGGCAGTGGTGGCGCACACTTTTAATTCCAGCACTTGGGAGGCAGAGGCAGGAGTATCTCTGAGTTTGAGGCCAGCCTGGTCTACACACCAAGTTCCAGTATAGGCTCCAAAGCTATAGAGAAACTCTCTCTTGAAAAAACAAAACAAAAAGTATGTTAGTGTTTAGTCAGCCTTGGATGATATCACTCATTTTGAGACAATGTCTTACTGTATGAGTTTATTGTTGCTTCAGCAAAATACCCGACCAAACCAACTGGGGCAAATTTGAGTTTATGGTCCATTTTGGCAGGAAAGCATGGTCTCAGAAGCATAAAATATCTGTTCACTTTGTATCTGCAGTCAAGAAACAGATAAAAATGCTCTTGGTTAGCTGAGTGGTTGTGGCACACGCCTTTAATCCCAGTACTTGGGAGGCAGAGGCAGGGGGTCTCTGAGTTTGAGGCCAGCCTGGTGTACAAGAGCTAGTTGCAGAACATGCTCCAAAGCTACAGAGAAACCCTGTCTCAAAAAACAAAATAAAACAAAACAAACAAAATGCTCTTGCTTATGTTGCCTTTTTCCTTTATGCCTCCTGGTAGCCCCTGCCCGTGAGTTGGTGCTATCCACAGTTAGTGTGCTTCTTCCTACCTTAATTAACCAAATCTAGAAAACGCTTTACACAATGCCCAGATGCTTGTCTCTCAGGTGATGCTAAAATCCTCTCAAGTTGGCTGTGTTAACCATCACAGTATGTATCCTGGTCTGTCCTTGGACATGTGTTTCTCCTACTTCAGCCTCCCAAGTGCTGGGATTATAGTCGTGGGCCATGTACTAGATTTGCCTCTCTTTTATAGTTACATTTTATAAATAGTTGCCCCATAATGATTAACTTTTCTTTGTTTGAATTCTCCTATGTGTGGAGGTTCAATGAGTAAGGGAAAGAAGATCTTAGCTGAATTATGAGTTGCAGCATTTTAGAAACTTGTTAGTTGTCTTGTTTACAAAGCAAGTGCTTCTTTACAAAAAGCACTTAAAAGCTCTGCTGTGTTTGTATCCCTAGCACACCAGAAGTTAAGGCAAGGAAATATTGCCTTTTTACAAAAGCCTAGGCTTGTGTAGTAAGATAAGTAAACAAAGGGTAGGGATTTCAAGATTGATTTCATAAACATTGTATATATAACTCAAGTGTTTGTTTTAACCTACTATATACCAATATATTCTAATTACTGATGCATATTCCTTGTAGAAAGTTTTCTAAAAAAGGCTGAGGATTGTAGCTCAGTTGGGAGAATGGTTGTCTGCTGTCATGGTGGCACATGCACTCAGACACAGGCAGGAGAATCAGAAGTTCAAGATTATTGTTGGTTTTTTTTTTTTTTTGGTATTTCAAGACAGGGTTTCTCTGTAGCTTTGGAGCCTGTCCTGGCGCTAGCTCTTGTAGACCAGGCTGGCCTCGAACTCACAGAGATCCGAACTCACAAAGATCCGCCTGCCTCTACCTACCGAATGCTGGGATTAAAGGCGTGCGCCATCACCGCCCGGCAAGATTGTTGTTGGTTATACAGTGAATTCACAGTCAACTTGGGCTGCATGAGACTGAGTCTCAAAGGCCAAAAAAAAAAAAAAAAAAAAAAAAAGGTGTACGGGCATAATGGAACACAACCTTGCTCTTGCATCACCATGTTTTCTGAAAGTCCTAAAGGAGAGTGGCTGTCTCTGTGGGATAAGGGGATTATGGTATAATGTTATCAACCACCTCTAATCCTACTTCTCAAGAAGACATAAAGTGTGTGTTAATTATAAGACCAGTATCCTTGAGATGGTATGGTTGGGACTCCTCATGCTGGGCCAGGAAACAGGCATAGATGCTAATTAAACAGGTCTGTAAGTTGACCCTTTGATCAACATTTTCTCCAGATAGACACCGACTACTAAAGGCCATACAGCCTCCTAAAATAATGTTATTAATGGGCGGGGGGAGGGGGGCAGGGAGAGCCAAGTATTACAAACATAGGAACCCATGGGGACATTTTTACATCTGATGTTATAAGGACAGTATTTTTCTTTTTGAAACAGAATCTCACTATGATGCCTTGGCTGGCCTGGAACTCACTGTGTAAACCTGATTGGCCTATAGAGATCAATCTGCCTCTGACTCCTGATTGCAGAGATTAAAGAGGCCCTGCAAAAATCAAATGGTTTTCTGTGAATTATCTATTAATCTTTGTCATGAATATATAATGAGGTAAATGGAAATCCTAGAAAGGCCACTTTATAGTCAGAGGACCTATTTTCTCAACTCAGGATAATTTTGATTATAGTGCTGTTAGTCATATCAGGTCATGTAAGAGTCTGCAGGATTATAAAAATCGAGAAAAAATTATTAAATTCATGAGGTAATTCTTTTTTATATATTTGAGACAGGTTCTCACTAATTGTCTAGAGTCTTTCTGCTTCAACTTTCTTGAGTACTGGGATTACAGATGTGCGCCGCCATGGCAGGCCTGCCATGGCTTTTTAAACCTGAGGAGATAAAGCAATTGAATAAATCTAAGTCATGCTGAAGAAAAAAAAGAAAATTAAACATTTAAATGTCTGTATGATACTTTAGATTTGACTTCATATTTCTTTAGATGTTTTAGCTGTACTGTAGTAGTGGTGCCTTTAATCCTAGCGCTCAGGAGGCAGAGGAAGGCAAATCTCTTGAGTTTGAGGCCAGTCAGGTCTACCAAAGTGAGTTCCAGGACACCCATGGCTGTTACACAGAGAAACCATGTAAAACCAATTTTTTTTTTGTTTTGAGATAGACACACACACACACACACACACACACACACACATTATGGTGGGAAGAAGAAAATTCATTAGTGCAACTGTTTTATTTGTAGTGTCTTCAGAAGCCTAACCTGACGTCAGATACAAAGGACAAGGAGTACAAACCCCATGACATTCCCCAGAGGCAGTCTGTACAGCCCTCAGAAACCTGTCCTCCAGCCCGCCGAGCAAAGCGCATGAGAGCAGAGGTCAGTACTTCCTGGGGTTGATTAGCATTTCTTGAGTTTAGTGTTGATAGCTATTTATCATTGACTTTCTCTCTTCTGTAAGTGCTTTGTAGTTTTTAACCTTGGTAATGTCAAAGGGATACTTCACACTGTTGGGTTTTTACACCAGCAACGGGGATGGTGCCTTTACAAAGGGGAAAGTGTGGAAGCACTCATTCTGTGTTGCCTGGGAAGCTGCTTAGTTGTTAGTCAGAACTGAACAAACAACTGTGCAGAATATGTGGTCCAGGCTAGTCTGTGATCCCTGTCTTTAAAAAGAAGAAGAAGAAGAGTAAAAAAGTCATTGACAGTTGTGGAAGCAAAGTTTCTACAAATATTGGTAGACCTTTGAAGAGGTTGGCAAAATTTTAGAAGTTGAAATTGTGATGTTTTTATAATTGTTTCAGGTTTGGTAATAAAGCAAAGCTTCTAGATGATCTTGTTATGTTATTTTCATTTTGGGTAGTAACACAGCTAATAATTTGATTTCAATTTTTTTTTCTGTTCCTCCACAAAACCTGTATTATTGGAGAATACTCTTTTTAGTTTGTGTATAAAAGTAATTTCAGAAATAGGATATTCTAAGAGGAGAACAAGGTGTCTTCTGAATTACTAACTAGTAACAAATAGAAGAAAATGTTAATATATGTTAATATATGACAATTTTTTTAGGCTATGAATATTAAAATAGAACCCGAAGAGGCAACAGAAGCTAGGACTCATAATCTGAGACGCCGAATGGGTTGTCCAACTCTAAAATGTGAAAATGGTAAGAAAGTTTATCCATGAATAAGAAAGAAAGTAAAAATGATGACCGCAATTATTTCTTTTGTCACCTTGCTGGTTTTGAGAAACAAAATCTTACTATATTGTCTTTATTCTCACAATTAACGGGCCAATAGGATGAAAATGGAAAAATAAGCGTATTTGGAATATAGATGCTGCTTTGAAATGTAGTTCCAATAAATCACTTAAAGGACGAGTTGAAAAGTGTAGGTTCCTTTTTATTTCAGGCCAAGGAGAGACTTTATCAGCTTACATGGTTGTCACTTGATAGAGGCTTTGAGAGAGGTTTGAGATAGGTGTTGTTTTCCGTGCTTTCTTTTCCCATCCTCTCTCTTTTTTTTTCTCTTGCACTTCCCCTTTCTTTTTTAAATTTATTTATTTATTATGTATACAGTGTTCTGCCTGCACACATGCCTGCAGGCCAGAAGAGAGCACCAAATCTCATTACAGATGGTTGTGAGCCACCATGTGGTTGTTTGGAATTGAACTCAGGTCCTCTGGAAGAGCAGCCTATGCTCTTAACCCCTGTGCCGTCTCTCCAGCCCTCTCTCTCTCTTTTTTAAAAGATCTTCTGTGTATTCTTGCCTGGCCTCAAACTCTTCAGCCATGACCCTCCCTGCTTCTGTCTCCCAAGTGCTGGCATTATGGGAATATGCCACCAGACATGGCTAGAGGCACATTTGTAGTTCACATAGGATAAGTTCTATTTTGCATGTACACATGGGCATATGCAAATGCAGTGCTAAAATGAGTTCTTCATAGACATTAATGTGTTAGCGAAAAAGCAACACAATATAGCGGGAACTAAACAGCTGTGAATCTGAGTCCTGGCTCAACCTATAACTAGTTGTATAGAGACTTAAAATTCTTTAAGATTTATTTATTTGTTATACAGTGTTCTGTATACAGGCCAGAAGAGGGCACCAGATCTCATTATGGATGATTATGAGCCACCATGTGGTTGCTGGGACCTCTGGAAGAACACCAGTGCTCTTAATCGCTGAGCCATCTCTCTAGCTTCTAGAGATAATTCTTATGTTCTTTGAGATGGGTTTGTTGTAAATGAATCACTTGATGGTTCAATACTTGATTGCTCAGTTTAACCAAAATTACCAGGTTTTGGAAACAGGAAATCATCTTCGATTATAAAGAGACAGTGTATTATGTGGTAGAGACCTGTGGTGAATTTTTGATATCCCTGTCACGAGCAGGAGAAGCATGTCTTGTTGTTCTTGTTAATTTTTCTTTGAGACATGGTTGGTCTCACTATATAGCTCTGACTGGACTGGAACTCACAGAGATCATTCTTTCTCTGCCTCCTGGGTGTTGAGATTAAAGGTATATGCTTCCATGCCCTGCACATGCCTTATTCATAAGCAAACACTGTAGTTCCAATTTTGAAGGCACACACACATGTAAACAGCATATTCATAATAGAACTTACATACTAGAATTTGAGGTCAGTTTGTATTTTATCCTACTCAGTATTTGTGCTCTTGTAGGTAGTAATCCTAGGTGTCACTAAAATGAAAACTATCATTAAAATGAAAACTAACATGGAATTTTGTTTGTATAGTTCATGCTGGGAGAGGAGTGAGAGGATGAGGTGGGCTAGGGGGCAGACATGAGTATAGCACATACAGAAAGAACTAATTTTGGGTTGCCTCCTGTAGAGAAAGAAATGAAAAGTAATGTCAAGCAAGAACCCACTGAGAAGAAAGACTGCGTGTTAGAAAGTGAGAAGGAAAAGCCCAAGAGTCGGTCTAAAAAAGCCACCAATGCTGTGAGTGACACTTAACCTTTCTCCTTTACCCCATTTTCTTTTCCTCCTTTGATTACTTGCTTTTTTTTTCTTTTGAAACAGGATTTCTTCATATTCAAGGTGGCCTTGGATTTGTAATTCTGTCCCAGCCTTCTGAGTAGCTGGGATTGTAGAAGTCCACCATTTCTTCCTCCTTCCCTCTCACTCTGGTGGGGACTTGCACTTGGCAAGCACTCTGCCACTGAGCTACATACCCAGCTCTGGGAAATGAACAGCATATTTTATATGTAACTCAGACCTTGTATATACTACACAAGTACTCAACCACTGAACTTCATCCCTAGCCTGTATTTCCCTGCCCCCCTTTCAATAATCCCTATATTTATAAGCATATACTTATGTACATTACTTAGTATCGGTTAACTTAATATCAACAAAGGAAAGATATTTTAATGTCTGTTTAATCAATTTATAAGTAAGGAGGTAACCGGATTCTAGTTAGCATTGGCAGTTACGATTTTTTTGGAATTTGTTCAGCTCATACTGGATAGTAATGAAGAACATTGAACGGTTCACAAATCATTAGCCTACCTGCTGATGAGCTGAAGGGTAGATCAATAGTCAAATTTATGTTTTGTACCTCTTAACTACTAGTAAGGGTGAAAAGGAACAAGAAGTGAGGAAGCAAAGGAAAGGAGGCATTGGGGGGTAGGGCTTTGGTAGATTGAGTGCTGGAGACTTAAACTCTCAGTTGGAACGTTTGTTGAAAGTCACGCTTGGCCTGGCGGTGGTGGCGCACGCCTTTTATCCCAGCACTTGGGAGGCAGAGGCAGGCGGATCTCTGTGAGTTCGAGACCAGCCTGGTCTACAAGAGCTAGTTCCAGGACAGGCTCCAAAACCAGAGAAACCCTGTCTCGAAAAAGAAAAAGAAAGTCATGCTTATACTAGAAGTGGTGGCTCACTCCTGCAATCCTGGTACTGGAGGGTGAGGCAGAAAGATTGCTAAGAGTTCAGCCCTAACATGGGTTACAGAGTTGAATTTGTCTCCGAAAGCCAAAAGACAAACAGAATTTCACCTGTGTAAAAAAAAAAAAAAAAAAAAAAAATTGACCTTCCCTGAAAGATCCTGACAGTAGTTTTTTTAAATTGGAAATGATCTCACTGTTCCTCTCCCACCATACCACAAGAAATACAGTAAGAAAATGTGTGGAGTTCAGATTTTTTTCCCTGTGATTATAAACAGATTTAACAAGTTAGACATCATGTCAGCTTTCTGTTAGTATGTTATTAATGTTATATTTGGGGAAATGGCTACCATAATAAAATATCATAGATTCCATATTTTAACAATTTTTGCAGTTCTGCAGGATATAAACTCAAGGCATTGGCCAATACATCTTCTACTGATTCAATGTGTGTGTGTGTGAGAGAGAGACAGACAGACAGACAGACAGACAGACAGACAGCCGGCCATGGGGGTGGGTGAGTGCGAGAAATGAATTTTACATGTGGACTGTGGTATGCATACACAGATACACATATTCCCAAAAATGTGGTAAGATTTTGTGTGTGTGTGTGTGTGTGTGTGAATATACAACCCTATTGGTTGGCACATGACTATCTGGTAGAATACTTGCCTAGTAGTAGCATGCTTGTGAATCTAAACTTAATTCCTCAACAGCATGAAAACAAGGTGTGGTGATACACACCTGTAATCCCAATACTTAAGGTGGAGTCAGGAACATAAATTCAAGGTTATCCTCAACTAAGCAGCTAAGAGGCCACTTGTTACCTGGAGACCCTCAGAATAACATAACATAAAATGAAAAAAAGAATCCACAAAATTATTGTAAGGAAAGCTGCTTGTTGGTTCCTGGCCACCCAGCTAGCTTAGACCCAAAATAACCGCACAGAAACTGTTTTAATTAAAACACTGCTTGGCCCATTAGCCCTAGCTGCTTATTGGCTAACTCTTACATATTAATTTAACCCATTTCTATGAATCTGTGTATCGCCACGTGACAGTGACTTACCGGCTAAAGATCCCAGTGCTCCATCGCTTCTCTCTGACTCCACCCTTCTTCCTCTTAGCATTCAGTTTAGTTTCCCCCTCCTAGCTAAGTTATGCCCTGTTAAGAGGTCCAAAGCAATTTCTTTATTCATTAATGGTAATCATAGCACACAGAGGGAAATCCCACATCACAAAATCACACTCCTTTGTTTTATATTTTTTCCATTGCTGTAGGTGGACCTGTATGTATGCCTCTTATGTGGCAGCGGCAATGATGAGGATCGGCTCCTCCTGTGTGACGGCTGTGATGACAGTTATCATACCTTCTGCTTGATTCCCCCTCTCCATGATGTTCCTAAGGGAGACTGGAGGTGTCCTAAGTGTTTGGCTCAGGTAAGAATTAATGACTGAGAAATAAAATTGTTTTTGGAACATTTTTCTTTGCCTGTGGGTTTTAATTTTAGCAATAATAAAGTCCATGAACAAAACTAGGCTTAGAAGTGAACAGGAGTTGGTTGGTAGTGGAGCATACCTTTAATCCCAGCACTTAGGAGGCAGTGGTAGGTGGATCTCTCTGAGTTCAAGGCCGGCCTGCTCTACAGCGTGAGTTCCAGACAGCAAGTGCTTGTTACACAGAGAAAACCCTGTCTCAAAAAAAAAGCAATAAACAAAACAAAACAAAGCAGAAGTGAATAGGAAAGAGGTCTTACAAAGTTCCACAGTATGTGTATGTGTCTATATAATATGTGTGTTCAGAGGCAGAAATTTTTTTTTAGACAATTACATTTTATTCATTTATTCACCAACAAATTCATTGTAAAACAATATATTCTTAACAACTTAGATGATTTCACAGGACATGGGTAACTATTTTATTAATGTCTTAGTGTATATATTCATCCAGAGTTTTTATTCTCTTACTCTGCGTGTATGAGTCTATGTTGGTGAGGGATACTTTTATTTATTAGTATGCATGTGTACACAAGTTCACCAGTGACGGGGTCTCTGCTGAGCCTGAAGCACAAGAGTGACTAGACAGGAGCTTTAAGGATCTGCCTTTCTTCATTACCCTTCCCACCAAGCACTGGGACAAGGATTTTGGGTTCTCAGGATATAGAGTCAGGTCCTTAATGTATGTGTGGCAAGCACTTCATTGACAGGGTCATCTCCTTAGTCCCAGACATTACTGTTTTAAACAAATGGAAATATATTAAGCAACTAATTTTAGTAATTTGCTTTTTATCTTAAATATTTTTGATGTAGTATGTATATAGTGCTGATATTTTAACAAAATGTAACAGAATTCTTTTTTATCCTTAGGAGGAAGTACTTAATCATTGTAATGTTACGTTTTGTGTTAGAATTACATATAATACTAAGAAGTTTTTTATTATGCTGCTTAGCTTTAAAGGTCCTAAAGGATTTCTGTATAGCCATTGTGTCACATGCGATGGCTCCACAGGACAGGTTATTATGGAATGCGGAAAGGGTCTGTGGTGTTAAAATTTAAAATGTTCAGATGTTTAATATCAAGGTAGAGATGATCTTACAAATGAGTCTGATACTCAGATATTGACTGCATTATGTAGGGCAGTTTTATATTGCCTCTGTTAAATTAGTGCTTTTTTGGTTGTTTTTTTTTTTTAAAATATTTATTTATTTATTATGTATACAATATTCTGTCTGTGTGTATGCATGCAGGCCAGAAGAAGGCACCAGACCTCATTACAGATGGTTGTGAGCCACCATGTGGTTGCCGGGAATTGAACTCAGGACCCTTGGAAGAGCAGGCAATGCTCTTAACCACCGAGCCATCTCTCCAGCCCCGCTTTTTTGGTTTTGATAGCATTATTTGGTTACCATTAAATGTTCCGGTCTGAAATTTAGTTTGTTTCCATCTGATTTTCTTTTCTTTTTTTTTTTTTTTTTTTTTTTTTTTTTTTTTTNTTTTGCGGTTTTTTGAGACAGGGTTTCTCTGTGGCTTTGGAGCCTGTCCTGGAACTAGCTCTGTAGACCAGGCTGGTCTCGAACTCACAGAGATCCGCCTGCCTCTGCCTCCCAAGTGCTGGGATGAAAGGCGTGCGCCACCACCGCCCGGCTCCATCTGATTATTTCTATTTTGATATATTTTATGTTGGTTTTATAGTTTAAGTTCTTGAATATTATTCCTCTCGTTTTTTAGTACAAGACATTTGATCCTGAAAGCAAATCAAAGTTAAAAAATAAAGATGGCAAACATACAATAAATAAGTTACCTAGTGTGGAAAAAAAATTAAGAGTGTTAAAACATACCTTAATTTCTCAGTACCAAATAAAAGTTGTTTACTAACTGGAACAATCTCATTCTTTAACATATTAATTTTTCTAATGAAGACCTAATAGAATGAAACAAAATCTTAAATCTTAAAAAAAAATTATCCTTGTGACTATTGGCTAGATACACTTGGTGTTTTCAAATGCCACCTAGAACACTAATTTTCTTTTTCCTATGCAGGAATGTAGCAAGCCACAAGAAGCATTTGGCTTTGAACAAGCAGCAAGGGATTATACTCTCCGTACATTTGGGGAAATGGCAGATTCATTTAAATCTGATTACTTCAACATGCCAGTCCACGTATGTAGACTTATACTAATTTGGTTTAGAATTTTAAAAATTTTGTTACTAGTTTGTTTACTTTTGTGTGTTTTTGGGGGTACTTGTGCAACAATGTGCACATGGAAATCAAAGACGACTTGTGGAAGTTTTCTCCTATTTGTGTTCTAGGGATTGAACACAAGTCACTAGGTTTGGCACCATGTGTCAAGACATGTTACTAAGCTGTGATTTTTTAAAAAATGTATTTGTTTTGATTTTGTGTGCGTTGGTGTACATGTATCTCTGTGAGGGTGTCAGATCTTGACGTTTTACAGACAGATGTAAGCTGCCATGTGTGTGTTGGGAACTGAACTTGGATCCTCTAGAACAGCCAGTTTTCTTAACTGCTGAGCCATCTCTCCAGCCCAACTAAACTGTGATTTAAAATTTATTTTATCTTACTTTTCTGGGATTGAGTCTCAATTATGTAGCCTGAGCTAGCTTGGAATTCCCTGTGTGGACCAAGCCAGCCTTGAACTCTTGAATCCTTGTGCCTCTCTCTGCCTCCCAAATGCTGGATTAAAGGGGGCACTTCCACACCTGAGTTAGATAATGAAGAAAAAACGAGTTAATCGAGATACTGTAGACAGCTTCTCTGCAACTCTATTACTGGTGAAAGAAAAGCTCCATTCATTGAAGCCATAAGGACATGAATAAATTGCACTTTGGCAGCCACTGTACAGAAGGAAACTTTTCTTTTTCTTTTTCTTTTCCTTTTTGAGCCAGGATTTCCTCTGAGTGTAGCTCTGGCTGCCTTGGAACTCACTTTGTAAATCAGTTTGGCGTTGAATTCACAGAGATTCGCCTGCCTCTGCCTTTCAGGTACTGAGATTAAAGGTGTGCACCACCACCGTCCAGGTTGAAGTTTTATTTTTGACTCCTTATACATTTAATATTTTCCTATATATTTGCATAATAGTCATGTTGACTGGTTTATACTATGTTATTGGATCTTATTTTACCTAAAAGCTTGAAGACACTAAGGTTCAGACATATAAGTTCTTTGCCTCTACTAAGAATAGTTCCTTGACACTCTGATAGCTTTATTGTGTTGTTGGATGTGCTGAGGCAATGATTTTTTTGTTTATATTCTGCAATTTCTTATTCTATTACAACAACAAGTTTATTTCAGATTATTAAAAAAGAAGAACAAAAAAACAAAATAGGTCCTTTTCCTTTCCTTGAAGGCCTCTCTTTGTAGTTGTGGTTGGGTTCGTGATCAAGTAACATGATTTTTTTTTTTAAATTTCATGGTTTTTGTTGGTTTGTTTTTTTTAGAAAATAATTTAATTTTTATTTTATATGTATTGGTGTTTTGCCTTCATGTTTGTCTGATCTTGTAGTTATATACAGTTGTCAGCTGCCATGTGGGTGCTGGGAATTGAACCCCGGGTCTTCTGGAAGAAAAGTCAGTACTCTTAACTGCTGAGCCATCTCTCCAACCCCATATTTACTTGTGTTTACATCACAACCAAAGTTTCTTCTCCCGCCTCCCCTCCCATCTATCTACCCCCACTCCTGCTGAGTCTCCCATGAATATCATCTAACCTAGTTGCAGTGAGACTAGGTACTTGTATTAGGGCTGGATAAGGCAATCTGGTAGGAGAAATAGCTCCCAAGAGCAGGCAACAGAGTCAGAGACAGCCCCCGCTTTTAGTGTTAGTGGTCTTAACAATAAGACCCTGTTACACAACTCTAACATGAAGAAGGCCTAAGTTGTTCCCATGCAGGCTCCCTGGTATTTCATTCAGTTTCTGAGCCCATATGAGCCCAAATTAGTTGGTAACATGGGTTCTTAATCAATACTTAACAGTTCTTAATAAAATTTATTTTAGAAAACAGAGTTGTTGTCTGAATTTCTCGAGTCACCTGTGGGAAATTATGGACAGATTTTTTTTCCTTAGCATGTTAACCTGTGATTCCCATCTCTTAGCCAGTCATTAACAATCTGTCATTGTCAATGAACGGAAAAACCATTCTTTGAATTTCCTCGTCCTTCCAGATGGTTCCTACAGAGCTGGTGGAGAAGGAGTTTTGGCGACTGGTAAGCACTATTGAAGAAGATGTCACTGTGGAGTATGGAGCTGATATCGCTTCAAAGGAGTTTGGCAGTGGCTTTCCTGTACGAGATGGGAAAATCAAGGTTTCTCCTGAGGAAGAGGTAGGCTCTGACTGTAGGAACTTGAAGTGTGAGGTGTAGCTCTACATCTAAAGGGCAGAATACTGGAGTGGTGACATCTTCAGTGTAACAATTGAAAGTCTCTGCAAGTGCCTCGGGAAGTGTATGTTGAAATTCTGTTTTGTCAGTTTAAGTATTTATAATTACTCTCAGCACAGTCTTAATTACTGGATTTTTAAGTAATTCAAGAAAAATTAAGTCCTCAAAATCCTAGTCCTGATTATGTGCTACAGAATGGTGATGACGGAACATTATTACCACCTTTTCTTCAGGGTCTAACCCTGAGTTCTTTAAAAAAAAAAAAAAAACCTGAGGAATTGAGTTCTTACTTAACTTTAATGTTTATAAGTTTCCATTGTAGTGGACTCCTATAGCCAAACTATTTTTATATCTGTTCTGTGGGCAGTCAGATTTTTAATGTGTATGCATATGTGTGGTATTCATTTTATATTTTACATACACATGGAGAAGTATTTAATCGTGTGTCCAGCTTGATTTGTCTTCACATGGGAAACCAGCCCTAGAACAAGAAAATAGGATGTATTAGTGTGATGCTCCCTCCCTGCTTTTCATCTCCTCACTTCCCTCTTCCCAGACATTACACTATTCCAACTCCTCACTAATGAGATAGATTAGTTGGCCTGGTTTTGAACTCATGTCTTCCTTCATGTTTTAAACTTCATGCTCAGTTCTCCTATATCCTAAAACAACACAAGGGAAGTTGTGTGTGTCTATAAAATTCAAGTCCACTTATTTAAGGTCCTAACCAGATACCATATAGAGTTAGAGGTCATCCTACTTTGACCTTAAGTCCTTCATTTTATTTAAAGGAGCTCTATCCTTTTTTTTGTTTTTGTTTTTGTTTGGTTTGACCTGGCTTTTTGGGAGGGGGTTGTTTGTTTTTGTTTGTTTGTTTGTTTTTTAAGACTGGTTTCTTTGTGTGACAGCCTTAACCCTAGCTGCCCTGGAACTAGCTCTTTAGACTATGGTGGCCTCAAACTCACAGAGATCCGCCTGCCTCTGCCTCCTGAGTGCTGGGATTAAAGGCCTGTACCACCATCGTCTAGCTTGTTTTGTTTTTTTGAGACAACATTTCTCTGTGAAACAGACTTGGCTATTCTGGAACTCACTCTGTAAATCAGGCTGACTTTCCATTGATAGAGATCCACCTGCCTCTGTGTCCTGAGTACTGGGATTAAAGGCAGGGCTGTAGGAGCTCTTTAGACAACCCTTAGCAATGGAATTCTAGGGGCTGAAGAAGTGACTCAGCAATTTTAAGAGCACTTGCTTCCATTCTAGAGGACCCGGGCTGTTTCCTGCACCCAGGTCAAGTTGCTCACAATTGCCTGTGTTTGTCTCTAGCTCGAGTATTTGATGTCCTTTTTTGTCCTCCTTTAGTCATTGCATACATGTATACCATACCAATATAATAAATATAAGAAAATAAGAAAGGAAAAAAATAAACATCTCTAAAGAGTTAGCATGGTACAAATATAACTTTATCACCTTTTTTTTCTGGCTCATTTTAGGAGTATCTTGATAGTGGCTGGAATTTGAACAATATGCCAGTGATGGAGCAGTCTGTCCTTGCTCATATTACTGCAGATATATGTGGCATGAAACTCCCTTGGTTGTATGTGGGCATGTGCTTTTCTTCCTTCTGTTGGCATATTGAAGACCACTGGAGCTATTCAATCAACTACCTTCACTGGTGAGAAATTTTATATGGAGCCTATGAGGAGTGTGTTAGCTGAATAGGAAATTTCCCTCTTTCTGGTATGAGTTACCTGTGTCTGAAGGTAATAGGTTCTTTTTAATTTAGCTTCTATTAGATTGGGTTTATTATCAAGTTATATCAAGTATAGGATATTTCTAGGAATAGTATAGTTTTTTTTATCTGAATTCAGTAAAGTGTTCACTAACAAGTTAAAGCACCATATAGCTTTTATTGGTACAGGAAATCTCACTTGGTAGTCATGGTAACCCATATATTCCTTTGGGACTATCAGTTTCCTTTTGTTGTGCTGAAGTCTGAAATATAATACTTAGACCTCTGTAATCCCTGTAGACTTTTGAACTTTACTGTTTAAACTTTTCACCTAAAAGCCATTTTTCTCTACATCTGTTTCCATCTCCCCTATTTCTTATACTAAAATATTTTAAAATCCATAGCCCACTCACTTTGAGGATGTACCACAAGAGAGAGAGAGAGAGAGAGAGGAGAGAGAGGAGAGAGAGAGCGCGCGCGTGTGCTGGCATATGAATATGCAACTCGGTTCTGCTTTCCTAGGCGATTGCCCCAGATGTTACAGGAAGATGATGTTTATCAGACCTCACAGGGATGGCACAGATTAATTGGTTGACAATTTAAAGTGCTTTGAAGAATAAGAGCTCTTTAGAAATGCTAATTGCCTTATTTGTATTTGATTTAAACCTTTTCCAGCAGAATGGCAAGGGAAAAGGAAACTGGAAGGCTGCCATCCTTTCTCAGTTGATGAAGGAAGTTGTGGGAACCGTGTATTCTCTAGCAAATGTGATTCTTTATATTAGAAACTCTAGATGTCTGCATTTTGTCAAGTGGGATCTGGGATGATGATGACCTCAGATGCAAAGACTCCTATTTTGTACTTGAAGGGAAAATGCACTACATACGATCCTCTACATTTCTAATGTTACGTCTTTGATTTGGACATTTATTTGTAGCTCACTCTTACAGAACAAGATTAGAAAAAATGTGAATTGCTTAACTTTGTGTGTGTTGGTATTACAAATCGATTGACTTTTATAATCTGTTTCTAGGGGTGAGCCAAAAACCTGGTATGGAGTTCCAGGATATGCTGCAGAGCAGCTAGAAAATGTAATGAAGAAACTAGCTCCAGAGCTCTTTGTGTCCCAGCCAGATCTCCTCCACCAGCTGGTGACCATCATGAACCCCAATACTCTGATGACTCATGAAGTGCCTGTATGTTCTGATTTAACCCTCCTGCTACTCCACTTATTCCCCACTTCTCTATTACTCTCTTTCTTTTCTTTTTAAAAAGTTAGTGTTTTTATAATATAACTTGATAATAGAAGGTGCTTTTTAATGCTGTATAGCACTAATCCAATGGCCCAGGTACCAAGAAAACATAAACTTAATTGTTGTAGTTAATACGTGGATAAGGAACACACTTGCTTTGCAAATGAGTGCAGCACTTTTCAGTGTACAATTTAGCATAGTTTTAGGTTGTATAGCCACTACCACTAATGGTTTCTGTACTATAAATTATGTAAGAAATAGTTACAAATACAAAATAGTTTATTAAGAAAATGGTTAGCTTCTGTTATAGTTAGATCAAAACTCCAATTTTAAAATTTTTTAAAAATATTGATAAATTTGGTTTGTATGTGTTGTTTGTATGAGTGTTTTTATGTGCTCCATGCACATGAGGAATCTGAAGGTCAGAAGAGATATCAGATCCCCTGGAACACAACTTACAGGTGGTTGTGAGCTGTCACGTGGGTGCTGGGAACTGAATCCCACCCAGTTTCCAACTCTTGCTGTCTTGTTTCTACCTAAAAGAATAATTTGGGTTGGAATTTTTTTTTCAGTGGAATGCATATCTAATAAGCTCAGGTCCTGGATTTAATTCCTAGCACTCCATAAAGAAGAGGGAACAATGAATCTTATTTAATCTCATAATCTTATTTTTGAATGATTAATCAAAGTGTCATACTTGGTAGGACTATATTGATGGTGGTGCTAGGAACTGAACCAAGGGTCTTGGGATACTAGATGTACACACTGTCTGGGTACCACTTCTCAGTTAGAATTGGCTGTTTTTTACTGCTAATCACCCTCCCTCCCGTTAAACATCTGTGGGTGTATGTGTATGCCTGCATTTGGGTGTTCCTCAGGGACCATCAGGCATGATATTTCAGGATTTTAATATGAGGCTCATTAAGTATGTGTTCATGGACTATAATTTAGAAAATAATGATTGAATGTATGAAACACCCATCATGTCTTCATTTTTAGTATTTTTCTTGTTGGATTTTTTTCCCATTTGTCAGAATTGGAATAAAATATTGGATTCAGGGCCTAGGATAATAAATGGATTAGTTATTCTTCCTGGTCTGGAACCTGCTATGCAGTCCAGACTAACCTCCAGTTCACAAGCATCTGCTTGTCTTGGCTTCACTCTTGCTGAACCTTAGGATCTTGTCTCTTAGATGGGGCCTTACTTGGTGTGAGCCCTATCTTCTGTTCAGACTAACTAACTAGTGCAGTTATTGTGGTATACTCTTTAGCTTGTGGCAGAAGTTAGGTGATTGTACCACAGTAACTTTTCTCCTCAGTTTTAATTGATAGAAGGTATATATGTACAAATGTATGTTTGTCCTGTCCTGTTTCTCTGGTGAGTCATCTATAATAGTTCATGTCTAAATTGTCTTTGAGAATGTTACTGTCAAACCTTAAAAAAGTCTCTTCATTCTTGTCTCTGTAGGTTTATCGAACAAATCAATGTGCTGGGGAGTTTGTGATCACATTTCCAAGAGCCTATCACAGTGGTTTCAACCAAGGTTTTAATTTTGCCGAGGCTGTTAACTTCTGCACTGTTGATTGGGTATGTATTACAAATTTGAGCTTTCTCAAATCTACAGTTTTCCTGTGGAAATGGCCTATAATGTTTTGAAAATTGTCGTGTATACTTGCTGCTCATCTGACTACTATGCAAGTTCTTTTCCAGTCTACAATGAGATACAGTACTTTGTAACACCTTGTATGGCATTTAGACATGTATCACATTGCTTATTTTAGTTGACATTACATTTCTTTTGTAGCAAGACCCCTTTCTCTCTTTTTTAAAGTGTGTATGTGTTTGTTTTTCTGCATCTACACATGCACAGGCATGTACTTGGACCAGTAGAGGCCAGAGAAAGCATTATGTTTACAGACGGTTGTGACTAGTCTTGACATGCTTGCTAGGAACTGAACTTTTTTTTAATTGTATAAGTTTTAAATCAACTTTTTATGGATAGAGCAATGGTTTTGTTTTCCTGTGTTACCAAGCCTAACCCTGAGCTCTTTGTTACAAACCATTCTCCTACCTCAGGTTCTAGGGAACTTTTTAACTTGTAGCAAGACTCTTTCTGAAGAACAGTCTAACAACTTAACAAAGCTGAAGGTTGTTAGAGATTACAGACTAGTAACAAATATTAGTAGAATTGGCCTAATTATCCACAATGCAAAAGTTCAGTGACATGTTTATTTCAGTTCATTGCAGAGTTGAAATTTTATGTAACAAGATGTGTGATAAAATTTAGAGACTTGTAGCTTTCTGTTTTGAGACAAGGTCTCTTAAAAATCTCATGTATAGTTGAGGATGGCCTAGAATTGCAGATCTTCCTGCTTCTAGCCTACAAGAGCTGGAATTTAGGCATGTGCTGCCATCTAGTGCTTCTCTTGAAAAATAGCATTAGTTCTTATTTTCCACCATAAAGGTTTTTTTTTTTTAATTTATTATGCATACAATATTCTGTCTGCGTTTATGCCTGCAGGCCAGAAGAGGGCACCAGACCTCATTACAGATGGTTGTGAGCCACCATGTGGTTGCCGGGAATTGAACTCAGGTCCTTTGGAAGAGCAGGCAATGCTCTTGACCACTGAACCATCTCTGCAGGGCCCCCCCCCCCCTGCCCATACAATTTTTGAGTATTAATTGTCCACTGAAGTAAAGGAAGCCTAGGAGTTCAGCACAGTTGTTTTAGGAAATGTACAAATATTTCCCATTAGACTTCACATTACTCACATTAACTCATTGTCAATACATTGTCATTTTTTTTCTTAACCAGTTTTCAACTTAGTTACCCAGTGTGCTGTATTTTTAGAGCACAAAAATAATGGGGTTTTGGGAATCTGAGTCTGGTTAGGGTTAATAAGGGGTAGGTGTTTTACCTAGATTGCATTATTTGGTAATATGATATATAATAAGTCAAAAGTTTTCGGAAATTAAAAAAAAGGTGACTATGTCCAATTTCCTTTGCTTGTAACACAGCTACCATTGGGCCGACAGTGTGTGGAGCATTACCGCTTGCTACACCGTTATTGTGTCTTTTCCCACGATGAGATGATATGCAAAATGGCTTCCAAAGCTGATGTACTAGATGTTGTAGTCGCATCAACTGTTCAGAAAGACATGGCTATTATGATTGAGGATGAAAAAGCTTTAAGGGAAACTGTGCGTAAATTGGTAAGGTTTTTGGAAATCCAGTTCCATGTCTCTGACTTACTAAAATTCTTGTACTTTACTATGGTTTTAAGAAGCTTTTCCTTGACTTTCTAATTGACATGTAGTAATATTTTGTTTTAATTTGTATTGACTGTTTCATCATGTGCTTATTTTATCCCTTGTATCATCATTTGTGTAAAGTACCTTCAAATGGTTTGATTTAATTATAAAGTTATATTATTACAATAGCGCTTCTCCCTTGTCTCTGTCTGTGTTTGTGTCTGTCTCTCTCTGTTTATCGCTCCCTTTCTTTGCTATACTAGTGTCTCCTGCATCTCGGGATGGTATGTGGGCCTTGATCTTCCTGCTTCCACTTTTCAAGTGCTAGATTACAAGCTTGCCTCTTTTTTTTCCTGGTTTTTCGAGACAGGGTTTCTCTGTAGCTTTGGTGCCTGTACCGGAACTAGCTCTTATAGACCAGGCTGGCCTCGAACTCCCAGAGATCCACCTGCCTCTGCCTCCCAAGTGCTGGGACTAAAGGCGTGCGCCACCACCGCCTGGCTTGCCTCTTTTTTACTTTTTATTATGTGTCCTTAAGATATTTTGTATAATTCAAAGCAAAAGTCACAAGGATTTTCTCTAGAATCTCATACTTTTAAATTTTCATGGCCGCTGGACCATTTTATTTAATTTTTGTTTTTGTAAAATACAGGTCTAAAGTGTTTTGGGTTTTTGTTTATTTTTGCATATGGATGTCCAGTTGTCTCTACACAGTGTCTTAATTTTTATTTTCTATGTTGAATTGCCTTGGTACCTTGGTTTTAAACCTATTAATCTAACCTATTGCTAATACTAAATGGTCTTTACTACTGTAATTTTCTTTTATGATTTAAATTTTATTTTTAATTACCAACATATGTGTATATGTCTCTGTGTGTGGAGTTTTGTGCATGTGAGGTCAGTACCCACACAGGTCAGAACAGGATGTCCAATAGCTTGGAACTGAAGTTACAGGCGGTTCTAAGCTCAGTAACATGGGTACTGGGCCCATTTTAAGGTTCGTACAGTTAACATTGAGTTGTCTTTCTAGCCCTCTAATTTTCTAAAACCTTTGAAAAAAGTAATAACTGGTGTGAGTCTTCCAAGACAAGGTCACATAGAGCCCAGTCTGGCCTTAACTCTCTATGTAGTCAAGAATGAATTTGAACTTCTTTCTGCTTATCCTGACTCTACTTCCCCAGTATTGGAGTTATAGGAATATGGTACCATACTCAGTTTTATTCAATGCTGAAATTAACCCCAGGGCTTGGAGTATATAAGGCAAGCACTCTATCAAGTGAGCTACAATCCTTACCTCTTTGTTCATTTGCATTTTCCTGTTAGTTTTGATTTAATAGATTTTAAAAAATGGATTCTTTTGAATCAACCACATACACACACAATCATTTTCTTTCATATGTTACCGTGGTTAGAATACTGAAATGTTCTCTATTGGGAGCCCATTATGTCCCCTGATAATTTATAGTTAGAGAAAGCAATGCCTAGTGGATTACCGAGGTCTACATCAGTAATGGTAGCTAGTGATTACCTGCAGAAGAACTAGCTAAGGCCCAAATTCCAGCCTGATGTGGAATAGGAACCACCTCAAGCTAAAGAGCTGATAACTGTTGGTAGCTACTTGGGGGAGGGAGAGTGATTTTAGGCAATGGACCTATGGGAGGTTGTCGATTCTCCAGTGAATGACCCCACACTCACGTACCTATGGGCAACACTTAATTGGACTTACTGAGTTACTAAACACAAACAAAAAAATGGAGATAAAACTGGGAAAAGGGCCTTCTAGAGGTCAGATGGGATGCACTATAGTTGAAATGTTTTCTTTGTGACTTTAAAATGTTTTCTCAATGGGACTTTATCTCCTGAATTACACATTTTCTAACTTACTAAATGATATGTTCAGGTACTTTCTGTCTATTCCTACTACAGCCATCTTGGTGTGTTGTATTAGTTTTTTTTTAAACCTTTTTTTAAAGTGTGTGGTGGGGTCAGAAGAAGGCATCAGACCTCCTGCAGAGCCAGAGCTGCAGGCCTTGTGAGCCAGGAACTCTGTCCTCTGCAGGAGCTATGTGTGTCATCTCTCCAGCTTCTCTGTTGAAGAAGATGCTAGGGATCAAATCCAGGGCTTTGTGCACTGTAGGCAAGTGCTCTGTGAGTTGCATTGCCATCACCAGCTGCTTTTTATATTTTCTGTGATAGAAAGCCTATGTCTTTCTTTTGCTCTTCTCTATGTTCAAACTTCAGTAAAGTAAGTTTGGAGTAAGATAGGCTGCTAACCTCAACAGTATTAATTCAGCATTGCCTTTGTTTATGCTTAGATCAAAATGGTTAGACATGGGGCCTTACCTTACCCAAGGAGGGATTCCCGCTGGACAAGTGGATGCTAGGCTATTGTTATTTTGTAATCCATTTAGTTTTATATCGTGCTTATGTATTTTACTAAGGCTTTAAAAAATTCTGTTCATGCTTGTTTTGGTCTTTTAGATTGTATTATTCTTTCAAAGCTTCTAATATAGATTTAATTTTAGGGAGTAATTGACTCAGAAAGAATGGATTTTGAACTGTTGCCAGACGATGAGCGTCAGTGTTTACAATGCAAGACAACATGCTTCATGTCTGCCATCTCCTGCTCTTGTAAACCTGGCCTGCTTGTTTGCTTACATCACGTGAAACAATTGTGTTCCTGCCCCCCTTATAAGTATAACCTGCGGTAAGTAGGAAGGATGAGTTTTTGTTTTTTTCCTTTGGGAAAGCATGGAATCATTTAGTTCTCTCTTTGTGTGTACATGTGCATATGCGTATATTGGTTCATGTGTGTGTGTGAGAGAGAGATCACATTCATGTGTGCTTGCGGAGTCAGAGAACATCTTCAGGTGTTGTCTTTGGCCTTCCACCTTGTTTAAGTTAAGTTTTCCCGGTTTTTGGCTATATGCCAATCTGGTTGACCCATTCGCTTCCAGAGAGTCTCCTGTCTGTATCTGTATCATGTAACTGTATTAACACTGCTTTTGACATGGTACCTTAGTCTTTGAAGTGACCATGGCCATGGCAACTCTTTAGTCCATTATCCTCATGGCAGGGAACATGGTGGCCCCAGGCAGACATGGGTATTGCTTTCATGGAAAGTGCTTTATCCATTGAGCCATCTTCCCAGCCTGCGCCTAGTCTTTACTCAATGGCATCTCTAATTTAGGTCTTTGAATGTTGAGGATAAAACACCTTTCTCCACAGTCACCTGTGTCAAAGCTGTTTGTGCTCTGTGTCCAGGTATAGATACACTCTGGATGACCTCTATCCCATGATGAATGCATTGAAGCTTCGAGCAGAGTCTTACAATGAATGGTCCTTAAATGTGAATGAAGCTTTGGAAGCAAAGATCAATAAGAAGAAAAGTATGTCATGCTTTTATTTAATTGTAATTTTTACCAGCAAAGCAGACTTGGATTTTGTTGTGCCAGCTTTCAGTTATTGACAAAACAGATGACTGAAAAGAGCCTAATTCATCCGTAGCTCTGCCTGAACAGGGTTCCAGATCTTTGGCAGAGGTTTTTGACTTTTTGAGACACGGTTTGTCTAACAATTCTAGCTGTCCTGGAACTTACTCTGTAGACCAGGCTGTCCTTGAACTCTTCCAGGTGCTGGGATTAAAGGCTTGTGGCACCACCACCTGACTTGGAACAGATTTTAAGAGTGGACAAAGCAGTTTGCCTCATGAGATAAATGTTGTCTAAAATATAATGTTACGTTTATGGACGGGCCTTCTCCACTCTGTTTTGTAATTAATTATAAACCTGATGATCAAAGAAAGATGACGTGTTCTTTATTTTAGGTCTGGTCAATTTCAAAGCTTTAATTGAAGAATCAGAAATGAAGAAGTTCCCAGACAACGATCTTCTGCGTCACCTGCGCTTAGTCACACAGGATGCAGAAAAGTGTGCCTCTGTTGCCCAGCAGTTGCTTAATGGCAAAAGACAGACAAGGTATATACTTTTGATTATTTGAGATGTTAATCTATGGCATCTGAACCTAGAAACCTATTACAATTTTTCCATTTTATCCTAGATTCTGTGCTATTGGGACCTATGAGTAATGAACATATGTGTTTTCATAGCTTCCTCGGGCCCTTGTCTTGTCTTACAGGTACCGATCTGGTGGAGGAAAGTCTCAGAATCAGTTGACAGTGAATGAACTCCGACAATTTGTGACTCAGTTGTATGCTCTTCCCTGTGTCCTTAGTCAAACACCATTGCTAAAGGTAATGTTGTAAAGATGTGTGTGAGGATTTGGGGGTAAATACCATATTGTGTATACTCTATTGGCATTATTAAGTTGCCTTCTTCGTTGTTTAATTTGCATATAGAATGATAACCCACACTTCTAATCCCAGCACTTAGATCCTGAGGCAAGAGAACTGCCATTAGCAAGAAGCCAATCTGGGCTCCATAATAAGTCCAAGGGGGGCTGAAGAGATGATGGTTCAGTGATTTTGAGCTCTTGCTGTACAACTATGAGAACCAGAGGTTGGATTCTAGCCTCCATGTAACAAATTAGGCATCCTGCACATGCCTCTAACCCCAGTTCCAAGAGAGCCCCGAAACAGGATTATTGCCAAGACTGACTGACATGTGTGTTGCCTCATTCACTCAAATTATTACTGACATAGTGTGGCTTGGTGAAGAGGCTTGCACTGGTTGTGAACTTCAGGTTTGAAGTTTGAAAAAAGAACTGAAGTCTGATTTTGATGGGATGCCTTGTACAAACTATTTGGCTTTGCTTGCTTGCTTGCTTTTAGGATCTCTTGAATCGGGTAGAAGATTTCCAACAACATAGCCAGAAACTACTGTCTGAGGAAATGCCTAGTGCTGCTGAGCTACAGGACTTACTGGATGTCAGCTTTGAATTCGATGTTGAACTTCCACAACTCGCTGAGATTCGTATTCGCTTAGAACAGGCCCGTTGGCTAGAAGAGGTGCAACAGGCTTGCCTAGACTCCAGTTCCCTTTCTTTGGATGATATGAGACGACTCATAGACTTAGGGGTGGGGCTGGCTCCATATGCAGCAGTGGAGAAAGCTATGGCCCACCTGCAAGAACTGCTTACAGTTTCAGAGCACTGGGACGACAAAGCTAAAAGTCTTCTTAGAGCAAGGTAAAACAAAGCACATTTTAATCTCTCTCTTGGGAAGTTTGGATGACAGGTGAACTTTTAAAACATAGGGCACAGAAGCAAGCATACTGTCCAGCATAGCTGTCCTTCCTTGTAAATACTTGGACCAAAAGCTTATCTGTTTGGACCTGCTTTGAAATATGGGTAAAGAAAATTAGCCAGGGTTAGTGATGCACACCTTTAATCCTAGCACTCAGGAGGCAGAGACAGGAGGGTCTCTGAATTCAAGGCCAGCCTGGTATGCAGATTTATTATATATTCTCCAATAATACTGTCTTTGGGAAAAGAAAAACTTTATAAACATAGAACTGTTCAAACTTACAGTTAAGAAGTAAAATCCGGAGTCATGAAGGACAAATCTGAGAGTTTTATTCTGTGCAGTGATAATGCAGAGTATTTTCAGTAGAAATAACTTTATTTTTGCGCTTGCTGGGTAAGTCAGGATGTTTAATCTGTATAGTTTTTAGGTTGAGGTGTGTTAGCCAGAGGTGAAAATGAAGTTATTCCTTAGTCTTGTTTTCTATATAGCAAGCAAATCTTTATTGGTTAGTGGGCAGCATAAGCATTAAAACATCTAGGTTACATACAGATGATGCATTCTTAAAATAGTGGTCATTGAGCAAAGGATGTAAATTTTTTTGTATTGTGCTTTGTGTTAATGATTTAGAGATTTTCTTTGTTCATCTGATTCTTGACATCTAGCATATAACACAGAATAAATTACTAATTGTGTATTACTTTATGCAGTAGAACTTTGTTATCATAAAATTGGGAATAGGTAGAAATACAATGGTTTTGGAATATGGGACTGAGGAGATGGTTCAGCTGTTAAAAGTGCCTTTTGCTTTGTCATTTCACACAAGCTTCATCTGCCTGACACTCCAGCTCTGCAGGCACGCTTTCATGCACACACTTAGACACACACATAAAATAAAACGACAATCTTACTTGCTCTTCAATCTTAATCATTTCAAATGAGTTTACTTGATATGTAGTGGTCAGTACCCTTAATAAAGATTTTTTTTAAACCATGATGAATTTGTTTAGAAATTATTTTCCTAGTCTTTTGGAAACTCTAAGAAAAATGCAGTTCTGATTCTTTGTGTTTTGCTTTTATAGACCACGGCATTCTTTGAGTAGCCTTGCTACAGCAGTAAAGGAGATTGAGGAGATCCCTGCCTATCTGCCCAATGGTGCAGTCTTAAAAGATTCAGTGCAGAGAGCCAGAGACTGGCTTCAAGATGTAGATGCATTGCAGGTTGGTTAAAAATAAGAAGAAAAATGTCCGCTATAAGTGCAATTAGCTGTGGGTTTTTTCCCCTACCTGGACAAAAGTAGGAAAGAAGCTTTTCAAGTAGTGGTTTTCAGCAGCCCTTGTTTCCTTCAGTGTTTGACGGCAGAGGGGATAAGCAGGTGCATGTGGAGCAGGTTACAGCCCTCTGGTAACTGAACTGTTAGCTTACAAGTGTTAAATCTCTCAGCCTGACTCTGAGACCCTTGACCCTGAAAATATGACAGCTCTCAAGCATGTAATGACGATGCGTACAGGTTTTTTAGATTATTTTTCATATGTATGATTGTTTTGCCTGTATGTATATCTGTGCACCATATGTATGCCTGAGGAGTTCAGAAGGTGTTGAATCCCCTGGAACTTATAGGTGGCTGTAAAATAGCTTCACTGTGGGTGCTGAGAATCAAACCTGGGTCCTCAGGAAGAACAGCCGGTGCTGTTGACCTCTTTCCAGCCCAGTTCTATAAAACATCTTTTATTCCTTGACAGTTTCCCTAATTTCCTTCTCCCACTCCTTGGATAGCCTCCAGTGGGTCCCTCTCCCCTTTTCATGGTCTCCCTTATTTTTTAGCCCATGGACATAGGAGTCAGAATCTCTGGGAAGGGGACCAGGAAACTGTATAAATAAATTTCCCAGATGATTTCTTGTTTTGTGCTTGAAGACAGGGATTCTCTGTAATATCTTCAACTATCCTAGAACTCAGCTTTGTAGACCAGGTTGACCTTGAACTCAGAGACCCTCCTGCCTCTGCCTCCTGAGTGCTTGGATTAAAGGCGTGTGCCACCACCACAATGATTCTTTTATGTGCTAAAGTTTTCAGAAGCATTGAACTTTCCAACTTTGTAATTTGTTTTCTGAATAATTTATACTGAATTATTTTAGTAATTCAGTACTGACCAAGTGAATTGGGGTAATGCTGTTGTTTATCTTTCTTAAAATGCAAGTCAAAAGTCTTAAGTTTGTTCAAATTTATTTCTGTTGAAGTAAATTTCTTTGCTACTGTTCATAAGGACCAGTGTCGTACATGAATTTATCAATGGGTGTAAATAGAAATTTATATGTGGGTAAGAATAACCAGGCAAAAGGAATAATTATCTCACAATTTTTTATCCATTGGAGCCTAGCATTAACTAAATTTGTGGGCTGTTTGTTAAATGAAAAGCAAATGTTGCTCTCCTCCCGCCTTGGTGAATTTAATATGTTGAAATCATGGGTCATTGTTCTTGTTCTTTTCCTATTTTGTATAGAAATATTCTTTTCTTAATTTATTAGGCAGGAGGACGTGTGCCAGTGTTAGAAACACTCATCGAACTTGTTGCAAGAGGCCGATCTATCCCAGTACATCTGAATTCTTTACCAAGATTGGAGTTACTAGTAGCCGAGGTTCAGGCTTGGAAAGAATGTGCTTCTAAAACATTCTTAACTGAGAATTCTCCATATTCTTTGTTAGAGGTAAGTTTTCAACCATCTCTAATTTGAATACTCTCTATAGCATGCAAAAGTAACCTTGTTGGTAGGTGGAATTTTATCTCCTACCCGGGCCCTCAGCCATTCGGTACCAAATAAATACACATAGGCTTATATTAAGTACAAACTGTTTGGCCTCTTAACTCAGACTTTTATTAACTAAAACATCTTTAAAGAGTGACATCTTTACATTTTACAAGAGCATTCTCCCACAGCACTCATGGGTGGTTCTATCTACTGTGGCTTGTTCTTAGCAACCTTAAATATTTCTGGCTACATGTAGGATACACAGTCCATTGATGTTTAGAGAAGAACATGTTTCCATTAGGTTTTGTTTCGTGTACGATGGAGTCTTACTCTTGCACCAGGTGGTCTTGGAATTGTGGCAGTCTTCTGCTTTTTCCCTCCTGTTTAGGGACTACAGATGTATACATCATACCTGGCTGAGTAAAGGTTTCTATTTATGGTCAAATTAGACTCTACATCTGGCTAATTTATTACCTTCATTTTATCTATTTTTATTTTATGTGTATGGATGTTTCCCTGCATGTGTGTCTGTGCACCATGTGTGTACAGTGCGTATGGATGGCAGAAGATGAAGTCTGTTTCCATGCAACTGCTATGAACTGGGTGGGTACTGGGAATTGGATCCCAGCCCTCTCAAAGAGCAGCCAGTGTTCTGAGCCGTCTGCATTTTAGTAAACGTGATAAATGACCTTACTGGTGAAGTAGTGCTGCACGCCTTTCATCCCAGCACTCAGGAGGCAGAAGCAGGCAGATCTCTGTGAGTTTGAGGCCAGCCTGATCTTCAGAGCAAGTTCCAGGACAGGCTCCAAAGCTACAGAGAAACCCTGTCTTGAAAAAACAAACAAAAATGACCTCAGCAGCTTGTCATAAAAAGTGGTTAAGCTGTATTTTTTTATGTTTCTTGTAAGCTGATTTTTATGCTTTATCGTTGTAATCTGTTAGCACATATCACTTTTACTTACTTAATTAAATCTGTAACAAAATTCTATTTTTTTTTTCAGGCATGCTTCTCCCCCCCTTTTTTTTCTTTAATCATTTCTTTGTGTGTGTACACACGTGCACATATGTGCACATGAGTAGAGTTTTCAGACTTAGGCAGCACATTTCAAAGAAAATGATAGATAATAAAAAATGTTATATAGCCTACTACTATTTAAAGTCTGTTAACTTACCTAATCTGAAATTTGTTTGAACAATGGTTGTGTTTTCTCTCACATTAGGTGCTTTGTCCTCGTTGTGATATTGGCCTTTTGGGGTTGAAAAGGAAACAGAGAAAATTGAAGGAGCCTTTACCAACCGGGAAGAAGAAAAGCACCAAATTAGAGAGTCTGAGTGACCTGGAGAGGGCCTTAACTGAAAGCAAAGAGACTGCTTCAGCTGTACGTAGTAGAATGTCTTTTTCTGGTTTGTTTTTAGGGAGGATCGCTTATTACCCTTTCAGGTACTATGTGGAATATTAGCACGTTTAGTGGGGTAACTTGAAAAGTGCTTGACTTTGCCAAAACGTCTTTTAAAATGTCAAGTTTAAAGATAGCTGTTATGGCCAGGCTGTGGTGACACATACCTTTAATCTCAGCCTCTACAGAATGAGTTACAGGACAGCCAGGGCTACACAGAGAAACCCTATCTTGGAAAACAAAACACTGTTTCAGTGGTAAAATGCTTGCCTGGCATTAATGGGTTCTTGAATTCTGTAAAATAATAAAATATTAAACATCCCCCGAGGTGCATAAAATTTGGAGTAGGCCACCCAATCTGAGTCTTTGTTTGAGATGGGTTCTCCCTGGTTGCCTTGAAATTCAGTATATATACCAGGCTGACCTCACATTTAAAGAGTTCTTTCTGCCTCTGCCTCGTGAGTGCTGGGATTAAAGGTGTGTGTTACCAAGCCTCAGTCAGTCTGAGTCTTGACCTTGAGAGCTTGTTGGGAAGTTCTAATGGGGAGTGCAGCTACTTGTCTACCCTTGACCAAAGACAGTCCTCCTCTATTGGGGAAGGTCATCCTCATCTACCAAGCGCGTACATGGAATGGTGAGAGAGAGAAGGGGACACCTGCCTAGCCAACCAGATCAGCAACCCTAACTCCAAAGGAGTAACAGATGTCTCAGCCAGATCGCCCTCACTTCCTCAATCTGAGTCTTAAATATTGAGCACGCATATGGGTGTTATCTAGAAATAATAGTTAGGAGATCAAGGCTGCCAGAAAGGTGAAACAAGTTAACACATCTTAAAAGTCTGACTTGTACATATGGCCTGAATATTTACTTCTATGAAAAGACTGGTGCTGATATTTTCTGTATGCCCATTTCTGACCTTCTCTACTAGGTTTCATTCCCTTAGATTGGGTGGCCTTCTAGGAAGGTACATAACAGAAAAGTCTAGAGCCAGGTGTGGTAGCTCAAGAATGAAAGCATGGCACTCGGGAGACTGAGTTTGAGTCTAGCATGAGCTTCAATTCAGCCTGAACTACAATGGGGCGAGGCACGTGTGTGTGTGCGTATGTGGGGGTGCTCAAGCAATCACCACACAGTCTATGTCTAGTTTTGTTCACTAAGTTATTTACATGTAATGAACACATTAATAATAGGCTATGAAATTAGGCCCTAACAAAAAATTTAAATAGAAAACCATTGAGTGGCACATGCCTGTAATCTGCCTCTGGGGAGGCAGAGGCAGGCAGATCTCTGTGAGTTAGAGACTTTTAAGATGTGATGTAGGTTAGGTGATTGTTGAAACTGTGTGCAAGGTGCCTCTCATTTGTAGTGTTTGCAAATGTTGGCAGTGGAATGTGGCTTAGCTTGAGACAGAGCTTGCTCTGGATTTGAGTGCAGATAATCTACTTTGGAGTGCATCTAATGAACTTAGAGTTGTATAAGATAGTTCTCTGTGACCAAATCCTTGATGGCTAACTCCTTTTCAGATGGCAACTCTTGGGGAAGCTCGCCTAAGAGAGATGGAAGCTTTGCAATCTCTCAGATTTGCCAATGAAGGGAAATTGCTGTCACCTGTCCAAGATGTAGAGATGAAAGTCTGCCTGTGTCAGAAGACTCCAGCTACTCCCATGATCCAGTGTGAACTCTGCCGCGATGCTTTCCACACTAGTTGTGTGGCAGTACCTAATATTTCACAAAGCCCCCGAATCTGGCTTTGTCCTCATTGTCGGAGGTCAGAGAAGCCTCCATTAGAGAAAATTCTGCCCCTGCTGGCCTCCCTGCAGCGTATTCGAGTTCGTCTTCCTGAGGGGGATGCACTGCGCTACATGATTGAAAGAACCGTGAACTGGCAACATAGAGCCCAGCAACTGCTTTCTTCAGGGAATCTAAAACTTGTGCAAGACCAAGTGGGCTCTGGACTGTTGTTTAGCAGATGGCAGGCCTCAGCAGGACAGGCACCAGAGACAAACAAGGTGAGCCTGGGTTTTGACATCTGCATAGCTCTGTTATTCTGTCTGATGTTGTTGTTCCTGAGACCATCTCTCTTCCTGTCACTAGCAATATGGCACTTCCCTGTTAGGGTCATTTACCTCTGCTCTGTCATTTTAGTTTTCTCTATCCCTAATTGTCAGGAGTTTTTGTTTGTTTTGCCTTTAAAATTATCATTGTGTGTGCTCGTACACATGCATGATTTAAGGGCCTGAGTATGAACGTCAAAAGGATGTTTTTTATGGAACAGTTCTGTCTTTATACGGGTTCTGAGATCTCTGGTCATCAGGCTTGTGCCCCTAAGCCATCTCACTGGCCCTGCTTTTTGTTTTTGAGATGAGATCTCCCCTAATCCAGACTGGTCGTGAAGTCACTGTGTCTGGGGATGATGCTGAACTTTCATCCTACTGCCTCTTATTTCCTGAGTGCTGAGGTTATAGGCATGGGAGACTGTTTGGTTCTGGGGATTGAAACTAGGGCAAACACTTGACCAAACAAGCTGTAACTCCACTGTCAGGAGTCTTTCTTAGACATTCTGTTTCTGTTGTGCACATGTGTACCTTTTTGTATATATAAATAATTTTTCTGCTTTATTCTGTTAACCTGTATGCCTGTTTGATTTATGCATATAGTTTTATTTTATAATTTTGCTTGATTGAAATTTCATATAAGTCACTGTGCAAAAAGAGAAACCACCACTTGCTTTGTCCTTTTTAGCCTTTAAGGAAGAATCGTATTTCAAGGGTTCAGATGCATTTGCCCTTTTTATTTGTGTGTGTACACCCCTGGGCAAGTTCCTTAGGAGCTGTCTGTCTTGTTTTTTTGAGATAAGGATAAGGTTTCTCACTAGACCAAGACTCACCAGTTAAGCTAGCTTGCCCACCACTTACTCCGTGGTGCTGGGATTTGATGACTAGTTCACACTGCCGTGCCTAGCGTATTGTGTTGTTTGTTTGCTTGCTTTAGTATGGGTGCTGGAGAGAAACTTGTTTTCACTTAGGACAAACACTTTACAAACTGAGCTCTCTCCCAAAGTTCCTATTCATGATTTTATCAAAAGGTAGATTCTTGGGGGCCGGGCGGTGGTGGCGCACGCCTTTAATCCCAGCACTTGGGGAGGCAGAGGCAGGTGGATCTCTGTGAGTTCAAGACCAGCCTGGTCTACAAGAGCAAAAAAAGGTAGATTCTTCAGGCCATCATTGCAGTGGTGGTCAGTTTCTTGTTGTCTCCTGTAGGTGGGTTGTAGGAAAAGAGTTGTGGAGATAAAGGAAAGTGCAGCTAGAATGGCAATAGTCAGTCTTTACATTTAAAAAGGTTGAGCTGAGCGGTGGTGGCGCACACCTTTAATCCCAGTACTTGGGAGGCAAAGGCAGGTGGATCTCTGTGAGTTTGAGGCCAGCCTGGTCTACAAGAACTAGTTCCAGGACAGGCTCCAAAGCTACAGAGAAACCCTGTCTTGGAAAACAAAACAAAAAAATAAAAAGGTTGTTTTGTTTTTAGATTTGTTATTTATGTGTATGTGTGTTTTACCTGCATGTATGTGTATTCTATGTATGTGCCTGGTGCCGGCAGAGGTTTGAAGAGGGCACTGGATTCCCTGGAATTGGAGTTACACTATGTGGGTGTTGGAAATTGAACCTAGGTCCTCTGCAAGAACAAGTGATCTTGACTGCTGAGCCAATTTTACAGCCCCTTTATAATTGATCTTATAATTACATGTGTTTATATGCCACACACAGGAATCATTCCCTCCTTTCGCCCTGTGAGCCCTTGTCTTTGAACTTAGGTCATTTGTCATAGTGGCAAGCACCTCACCTGCTTAATCATTTTTCTGGCCACCTGTCACAATATATTTCTGTAACAAAGATATTTACAAACTGAACACTCAACTGTATCCTTTGCTATTCAGAAGGCTGAGCCATGTAGAATTACTTGAGCACAGGAGTTTTAGACCAGGTTGGACAATGTAGAGGCACTCCCATCTCTCTAAACAGCTGAAGGCTAGATATAGCCTGGTGTGTTTGCCTGGGGCTTGACCCCCAACACCATAAAGGAGAGGGAAAGAGAAGCGAGTCACAATTCTTGTGCTTGGTTGATCTCAGATACAGGAGTTGAGTGCTTAGCAGAGCACAGGTGAGGACTGAAAATGGCCTGTCTTTGTTTCTGCAAGTGATTAAATATTTTTTGCTGTTTGGATAGCCAACAGCAGAATGAATCACTTGTATTTCTAAGGCTGTACTGAGAATTTAACTTTATTAAGGGAAAGGACACAATTATTGCTTGTCTTTTTGAGATAGGGTTTCATAGAGCCATGGATGTTCTCAAACTTCTGATCCTCCTGCTGTTACCTCCCAAGCGCTGGGATTACGGGTGTATGCCACCATGCCTCTCTGTTGCGTGCCCTTTGAGTAAAAAGAGTTACATAAACATTTGAAAGGTGGTGTGATCTGTTCTGTCAAGAGAAAATAGTTTCTTTCCCCAATGTTTTCATCTCTCTGAGATCAGTCTGAGTAAAAATTGGGAAGTTGAATGGCTTTGTTTCTGGGAGGGTTGGTTTGGCCTGTTTTTGGATGCCAGAGGAGACTTGCTGAAATTATTCTAGAAGCTCCTTTCATTGGACTGGTCAGTGTTTTTTAATTTGCAAAAGCCTTGTAATAAGGTATTTCTCTTCTATTAGGTGTCTCAACCTCCTGGTACAGCATCCTTTTCCTTGCCCGATGACTGGGACAACAGAAGCTCATATTTACATTCTCCCTTCTCTGCTGGACAGAGTTGTGTCCCCCTCCATGGTTTGTATTTTATTTTATACTATTCGTAGATAGTAATAGGCCACCTTGCCTAGGGTTTTGTAGTAGATAATCTAGTAGCCTATTGAACTCTGTATCCTTGTTAGGTATGATGTTGCATATGTATAATACCCACATTCAGGAGGCTGAGGCAGGAGAATTAAGAATTTAGGGCCTTCTGGACTACATAGCAAGGCTCTAGTTCAAAAACAACAAATAAACAAAAAACCAAATACCTGTATTACTTTGCATTTTCTAAATAATGAAGTGATGGATCATATTTGAAGATTTTTAAATGCAAAGGATACAGGAATGCAGCCTCTATTTCTTTGAGGAATAAGAGTTAATCCGATACCAGCTAACACCAAGCACCATGTATTTAGGTCAGATGCTAAGTCATGGACTTGTTTTAGACTTTCAGAGGATAATAGAGGTAACCCGTATTTGAAACCTACCTCCTTTCTCTTTTTTTTCCTACTTCAGGCAAGGTCTTGTTTAGCTAAGGGTGGCCTCAAATTCAGTGTTTGGTAGAAAAAATTCCCCCCCCCTCCTTTTTTTAATGTGTGTGGGTGTTTTGCCTGCCTATATCTCTGTACCAAGTGCATGCAGTGCTTATAGAGGTCATCAGATCCCTGGGACTGTGATTACAGACATCTGTGAGCCACCCTGTGGGTGCTGGGAAGTTAATCCAAGTTCCCTGGAAGTGCAGTCTGAGCCATCTTTCCAACCCCAGACAATGATCTTGAACTCATGGTCCAGATTCTGTCTGACAAGTTCTGAGATTACAGATGTGTGCTATCACACCTGGCCCCCCCCTTTTCTCTCCTTCCTCTTTTCCTTCTTCGTGTGTGTGTGTGTGTGTGTGTGTGTGTGTGTGTGTGTGTGTGTGTGATGGCAGTTAGATTAACCTAAGTTGGCCACAGACTCCCTATGTAGGTGAGGATGAACTTGAACTCCTGATCCTCCTACTTCCAATTCTTAAGTGCTGGGCTTGTCAACATACATAGTCTTCCCAAAGGAAGACTGCCTAAAGTGTTAACTGGAATCATGATCCTTAGTCATCCTTATCAGTATGTTTTTTGAGACAGGGTTTCACTGTGTAGTTCTAACTGTCCTGGGAACTCGTCCTGTAGAACTGGCAGTCTTGGAACTCACAGAGATCTGCCTGTCTCTGTCTCCTGAGTGCTGGGATTAAAGGCAGGTGCCACCACCGCATGGCAGGCCAGCAGTTTTTGTGACAGTGAGATCTGTCATGGTGGAAGAAGTGATCTCTTGTGTTAGCAGTAGGTGTAGAGTGAATTCTGATGAAGTGTGGGTATTTGCCCTAGAACCAAAGTCTTATGGAACCTACATTAGCCTCTCTTTGTTGTATTGTGGTGTCTTAGAAATTTTATTGCTGTGAAGAGATATACCATGACCACAGCAACTCTTATAAAGGAAAAACATTTAATTGGCTTACAATTCAGAGGTTTAGTCTATTAAGATCATGGCGTGATATGGTGATGTCCAGGCAGACATGGTGCTGGAGAAGGAACTGAGAATCCTACTACATCTTAACTACAGGCAGGAGGAAGTGAACTGAGACACTGGCGTGGCTTGAGCACATGTGAGACCTCAAAGCTTGTCCCTACAATGACACAGTTCCTCCAACAAGCCACATCTCCTAGTGCTGCTCCTTATGAGCTTATGGGGGCCAGTTACATTCAAAGTACCACATATGGTTTAGACACATTGTATAAACCTAACAAACTGAATGGGGACAGTCTTGTATGTCCGACACGCTTACATGTGCATGTACTAAATTTCTCTGTTCCTGTTCTGATTGGTCTTCAACAGGTGTGAGTCCAGAAGTGAATGAATTATTGATGGAAGCCCAGTTGCTCCAGGTATCCCTTCCTGAAATTCAGGAGCTTTATCAGACTTTACTTACAAAGTCAAGCTCTGCTCAACAAACAGACCGAAGCTCACCAGTTAGAGCCAGTAGTGACAAGGTGAGTGGCAGCTGCTGGGAAGCACATCTGCAGCATTTGCACATAGTGCTGCTTCCCTCTGACTGGGTGAAAGTGGTGGCTCTGTCTTTGAGCTACAAGAGCTTGCAAACTGTACCTCACAACTCCATGGAACAGACACTGAAGCCATTTGCAGCAGTCATGGCTTAGATTTTTTTTTTCCCATGGCTTAGATTTTTTTATGTCTGGGCCTTTTCTTTCTTTCTTTTTAGGGACCTATTCTCATCACTCTGTTGAGGTAACAGTGAGAAGTAGATTATTTTGCACTATAAAAGCAATGCGATCATGATGGAATTTGTAGTTGAAATGGCCTTTGTTAGTAAAGATTTTAAAGGTGCTAGATAACAAATGTTTCTCCTCCTCCAAACCAGGAAGCAGAGGCTGAGGGTGCTTATTTATCCTTGATATCGAAAGACACTGTGTAATGTCCTATTCCCCCGCACTCCCCCATCCCTTTCATGTGTATTTTTTTTATATTTATTTGTTTATTATGTATACAATATTCTGTCTGTGTGTATGCCTGAAGGCCAGAAGGGGGCGCCAGACCTCTTTACAGATGGTTGTGAGCCACCATGTGGTTGCTGGGAATTGAACTCAGGACCTTTGGAAGAACAGGCAATGCTCTTAACCACTGAGCCATCTCTCCAGCTCCCTCATGTGTATTTTTGTATGATGTATGCTTATGTGTACATGTTTTTGTGTGCATATGTATATGTATGCTTGTGCTCGTGGATCCTGAAGTTGATGTCTAGAATCTTTGATTGCTCTTTGCCTGATTCATTGAGATAGGATTGTTTAATTGGACAAAGAGCGTGCAGATAGGCTAATCTTGTTAGCCAGCTTCCATGGCTGAAACCACAGACAAGCTACCACAGCCGTTGAATATTGACATGGATTTGGGGGCTCCCTCTGGTCCTCTTGCTTTCATGGCAGGAACATTAACTGCTGCAACATCTTCCCAGCCCCTGTAATGTCCTCTGTTAAGGAACTACTGCTCCCTTGTATCTCTGTAAGCCCTGTCACACAAAAAGGCCCTGAGAATATAATCAGGATGTCTGAAACCTCAATGAAAAGGATCCTTGTGAGAGGTACCCGGAAGACTGATTACAGAGCAGTTAATCATTTTACTGCTGAAAGGGCTGGAGTGAATGTCCTTCACAAACACTTGATAGAATAGCCAGTCACTCACTTAAGGTGAGAAGGGTCTGTGTATATCTTTGCTCTCCTGGTGCTAGTGGGCTACTCTGAAGGTCAGTCATATCATTCATTAATCATTAACACCCTTCCCCAGTGCTCCCCCAGGTCACAAACAGCGGGGAAGGATCCTGGTAGTTAAGCTGTTATTCTTGAGGACTAGGAGTGGGGAGATGGTAGTAGTGGTTAGGATGGAACACACTAAGGGATCATTTGGTTTCTCGTTCGCATATTTTCTTTTGTTGCATCAGTTTTAGTAATGGGCAGACTGAAGGCTAAAGTTGAATTTGCCATCTCCCACCCAGAATGATTGCCTTCGAGGAAAGCGAGATGGAATCAACATTCTGGAGAGAAAACTGAAGAGGCGCCCCGAAAGAGAAGGCCTTCCCAGTGAACGGTGGGATCGGATTAAAAAAATGCGGACACCCCAAAAGAAGAAAATAAAATTGAGTCACCCCAAGGACATGAACAATTTCAGATTAGAAAGAGAGCGTAGCTATGACTTAGTCCGTAATGCTGAAACGCATTCCCTGCCCTCAGACACATCCTACTCGGAGCAGGAGGACTCTGAGGATGAAGATGCCGTCTGTCCCGCTCTGAACTGCCTGCAGCCAGAAGGCGATGAGGTCAGTGAGGTTTGGGCCATAGAGGACGCTTCCCCTTAACTCAGAAACCCTGTAAGCTAGACCTCATCTCCTCGGGGCTCTCTCCTCTGCTTGTCTGCTTTGAGCTGATCTGAATGGATTGCTCAGTTCCCCTACTGATATCTCTGCTTTTAACCATCGGTCCTGGGTCTCCTCCCTTTTCTTGAAGAAACTCTGGTTCTTCCCTTTTTTCCTTCTCTTGCTCCTCCAGCTTTCGCCACCCGGCGCCCGGAAGGTGGGAGGGATGCTGATGGAGTGCCCTTGTGCTTACGGTCCCAGGGCAGCGGCAGCGCTGTCTACCCCAAAGCAGGCACAACTTGAAGAGTGACTCTGCCTCCGTTGCTTTGGCGGTGGGACAGCTAGACTCCTGTGGTTAGCTGTTGTGCCAGAGGCCCCAGTGCTGAGACAGTGGCCATTAGTGGCACACGGCCTGAATATCTTGAGGCTGGCCTGCCCAATTTTGAATGGCATTTTTTTCCTCTGAACACCCCATCTTCCTGCTCTTTGTAACCAGGTGGACTGGGTCCAGTGTGATGGCAGCTGCAATCAGTGGTTTCATCAGGTCTGTGTTGGTGTCTCTCCAGAGATGGCAGAGAAGGAAGACTACATCTGTGTGCGCTGCACTGCAAAGGACGCACCAAGCCGAAAGTAAAAACAAAACATACTTCATATAATTCAGGACTCCAACAAAGAAGATTTCCTCAATCTCAGCAAAGCTACAGGACTGGGGTCAAGCCAGCCTGTACACGGTGCTATTTCTATTCCTTGCGGGATCATTTTTTCCAGAACTCTTTGAAAAAAAGAAAAAAACAACTAAAAAAATTTTTGACACTTTTTGTATTTTTTTCCTTAAGAGCTGTTTGTGGTTGTCGAATTAAACTGCTGACTGTTTTTGCAGGGGTTGCCGATTTCGAAGGTGTTGGAGTTTGCACCTTTTGTGTACAGCATTAACATTATACTTTTGCCTGGGATATACCGGCTTAAGAGTTCAACTCAGTTTCAGGGCCCAGCATGGGCACCAGAATTCCAGTAACCCTCACTGAGCGACTGTTCTCCTTACTCTGTTACCACATTGGGGGCTTTTTAAGTTTTTCACTTTGGGGTTTTTGTTCTTTTCTTTCTCTACTTCTTTTTCTTTCTGGTAGGTTAGGTTTATTTATCTGAGCAATAACTTCTATGTTGGTTTCAGTGGCTGGAATTAAAACAAAACAAACTTCTCAAAAGTGTGTTGGTGCTTTAGCATTTGGTTAATGTACAGAACGCAATGTCTAGTTTCTAGTGTCACTGATGACCTAGTGATGTAGAAAGAGACTGCGCTGTAAGTAATCGCCACGGCTGTATTCTGGCTTTGTCCCTGCCCATTCTTCCTCCCCTATTTTTTTTTTTTTTTTTAGATTGTATCAAATGTTGCAGTTTATATTGTGGAATAATAAATCCTTGGTCCTATTGTAACACTAGACTGCAGCTTCTTCTGCCCCTCTACCTTGTGGTCCTACGGAACCAGAAGGGGTTGCTTGCTTGTGCTTCTCCCCAGGCAGGCTACAATAGGAGTGTGTTTTCCTTCAAACTTGCAGAGACTGTCTTTGTAGCCTGATTCTTTAGGTAAGCACTTGCCTTCATGCTCCACTAATAAAGAACCTCTGTCTTTAAAGACCAGAGCCAGTCCTTCAAGCCATGCTTTTTATAAATAAGGTTTCAGAATGTTGGAGTTGTTCCCACATCAGTCCAGACTTGAAATAAGTCCTTATGAAATGTTTTTTATCATTTGACTTGTCAGGGAAATTTGGTCGAGAGTTAAGATCCTGGGATTCATCATCTTAGTTGGTTTTATTGTATCAGTTGAAGGGAAACTTGGGACTACCAGTCCTGCCTGCCTGGGCTTCCTCTCCCAATACTGTAGTTCCGTCCATCTTCACTGGCTGCAGGCAGCCATGCCCATAGTGGTATTCCTTCATTCTGCAGAGGGACAGGGTTCCTGGTGAGCAGAACAGCAGGCTCGTGCTCACTTCTCCTGAGTTGTCGCAGACACTTGCTTTCCTCACTGTTGATAGCCATAAGCCTGATGGTGGGTAAAGCTAGTAGATCTTTATAAAACATCAAGAAAGTTTGTGATGGAGCAGAGGATCTCCTTTATGCAATCCAGACGATTTAATCTGTTTAAGAATAATTCCTAGTGGTCTGCAGTGTCCTGCAGTTGGTTGCTGTGGCGTCTCTTGTCCGGGATGAACTTAAGCTTTGAAGGGGACACTATGGAGGCCAGGGGTACAGCTCGGTGGTAGAGCGCTTGCCTAGTATAAGCAAGACCCCTGATCTCATATCCTGCACTACCAATAAAGAACTGTTGTTAAAACAAATCTGCCTTAATGGCCTTTCAGCCTCCTCCCTCCAGGTCTTAACAGTTGTTTGGTTTGCTCATTGGAGGTAAGAGTCATGTGACCCAGGCTAGTTATGTAATTAAGGATCACATTGAAATTACTGTTGTCAGGCCTCTACCCCTGAATTCTGGGGTTGTAGGTGTGCACCACTATGCCTAGTTTATGTGATGCCAGGGATCAAACTGAGGGCCTTGTGCATGCCAGGCAATCACTCAGCCACACGAGCTCTCTCTGCATCCCTCACCAGCTTTTCATGTGGACCTTGTGCAGTCTCTGAGAGAGCTACTACTTCATTGATGGGAGATTTGAACAGTCTCCTCCCACAGTAGGAATCATGTTTTTTTTCTCTCTTTTTTTTTTAATGTGTCAAATCGATACCATAACAGAAGTGTCAACTGCACAAAATCATGGTCAATACTGGAATTCTACTTGAAAATTTTTTAATTTTTTGGGTTGTTTTTTGGTATTAAAATTTTTGTTGTGTTTTTTTGTCAATACTAAATTTCAAGTTATATTTAGGTGATCACTCGTACTATGAGTCAAAATCAAATGACAACTAGGATTTCTTCAGGTGTATTTATTTATGCTACCTTGTACAGTATCTAACACTGCAGATGTTAGAGCCATTCAGCTTCCAACTTAGGCCATCTGTTGTCCTGACTACAAACTAAAGCTTTATTAAAAAATACATTTCATTATGTGTTAGCTTTTGAAGCTTGCTGATACCTTAGCAGGGGTTCTCAACCTGTGGGTCAAGACCCCTTTGGCAACTCTATCTCCAAAAGTGTTTACATTACAGTTTTAAGTAGTAAAGAAAGTAAATTTTTTTGACTGGGGGTCACTACAGCATGAGGGCCACAGCACTAGGAAGGGTGAAAAACCACTGCTTTAGAGGAACATTGGATATAAGATTAAAATGGCAGCTGACGCATGAGTTTCCATCTGAGTGGCCCTGCAGTCCTTGGACTTAGAGAAGAGGACTGGAGTTAAAGCCTTAGTCAGGAGAGGGGCAAATAGCGAGATTGGAGAACTCTACGGCAAAGGCTGGGACAGAACACTCCACGTCACTTGAGTGACTGTTACCGGAAGGCCTCTTGTGGAGCATAAAGAGCCTGTTTTCTATAAAGCTGTAGCTAGAGAAAGCATAATTTGACCTCGCTGTCAAGAGGCTCACCTGGGGCTTGGGAGAGTGAAGTGCCACTTCAGTGGTGGACACTAATACAAACCTGCTTCATTCTGTCAGAGAGGAGAAAGAGATCTGATCTGATTTGGTAGAAGTGGCGAAGATGCTCCTACTTTGCCCACCATTAAAAGCAGCGTTGTAAACTGGTGTAGTGGCACACACTTGTAATCTCAGCACCTAGGATGCCGAGTCAGGAGGATTGTGAGTTTGAAGCCATCCTGGGTTAGTAAGACTGCCTCCAGAAGCCAAAGCAGTGAGGCATGGCTTTGGGTGTTGTGTAATCAATTAGCTGGAGGACAGTAGGTGCTTCCTTGGCGATGGTTGAAGTTGGGCTTCTCTCAGCAGGGCTTCTGCAACAAGCACTGTGAACCATCCTCAGCCCTGCGGCCTTTGTTGTGGATTTCTACACGTCCCTCTTCCCACTTCCATCTGGACGGATAGTTGGTAGTTCTGTAAGACTTGCTTATGTCTTGGAGCAGGCATGATGAGATTTAGCGCCTATGGTTGTTTTTTTGGGCCCAGTTGTGCCTGGGGTGTTCCATATAACTGGAATAGATTCCTATATACTCATAACAGGAGGTGAATCGGACAGCAGGCATTTGAAATGATCAGTAAGCTTTAAGACATAGCTGGTCATTCAGTAACAAACTGACATATATTAGTCTGTGTGCTACCATCAGCCTATATTAAAACGTTCTGTTGAGCTGGGGATGAAGCTCTGAAAACACTAGCCTAGCACGCACAAGTGAGGCCCGGGTTTCCTCTTGCCATGATGCTGCAGAAATCCTGACTCGGGAATACTGCTTATGAAGAACTTTTGAAGAGCCGTGAAGACGCTGTACCTGTGAGCTCCATTTGGAGTGCCCTTCCTCAACAGTGACTGAAGAGTTTATGGCTTCTCCCTTGGTCCTTTGCATGTGGCTCAAGTCTCTCATCTGCCTGAGAGGCTTCATATGTAACTTGTAAAGAAAATGCTGCTAAAAAGTTCTAAACAAAAATGGTATAAAGCAATATTGTTATAAATCTATTTTCCAGGCATAATCAATTTGTAAGGTATATTTCACTCTGCAGACCTATGTAAACAAAATTCATGTATAAGTATTACATAAAAATGTTTCTGTACGTTTTAATCAGTGTAAACGAGGCATCTCCAGCCAGCCAACACTCCCAGTTTGGGTTCTGGGATAAAGGGTAAAGGGCTGTGAACTGGTAAGTTCAATTGTGTTTTGAATTTTTGGGATAACCTGCCTTGCAATAGAGGAATGGCATAGTGAGTTTGCTTGATTGTTTCAGGCAAGTAGAGACCACGGGGTTATCTTAAACATTTGCCTTCCGATGTAAGATAGACCAACGATGTGTTAGTTCCTGGAAAGCTTTATGCTAGAAGTTGAGCAGTGTTGTTGCCCCTACCAGTGCCGTCCCACTGTCCTGGCTTTGTTGTAAGCATGCACAACAGAAAGCCATTGTACATATGACTTGGAAAAAGTGTATCTAATTTTAATCTGCATCATAACCATGTATATTTAATATACTTTGAAGTTGATAAGGGATGAGGGCCTGCAACAGGCTGTAAGTGCTCTCTAGGCAAGGGCCATGAGCATGGTCAACTAGGGACACACAGGTGGAGTTGAGGGTAGTCCCAGGTGGCTAAGACTTACCTGTTGTTTGCAAATCAGTCAAAGCTCTTGCAAGGCATCTGTCCTAAGCTCCCAGGAGACAAATCCTGGTAACCTGCAGCTTTCTTGATCCAATTGGAACTGTTCTCACCTTAGCACCACCCTTAAGAGTGGAAGGAGCAAGTGTTCCATGCATGTAGAAACTACAAAGGCTAATAACATAGTCCTAGCAGAGGTAAACTTTGGGAATGGGTTTAAGAACAATTTGTTCTGGCTCATTACTTCCTTGACCAAAACCTCCTGCAGTTTCCAGAGACTGTAGAATATTGTCCTTGAGGTTGGTGAGTGCTTCATCTCTGAATAGGGTGGGCATATGTCCCTAGGGTTGAACCTATAGTCATCAACCAACCATTATGTGTGTGACCCTGGTGTGAGGTGCTGTTTAGAGAAGTCTTAAAATCTAGTGGTCATGAAATGGCCACTCAGGAGTAAAATACCTCCTGCTCAGATTCCTCTGCTCCATAGAGACAGAACACACGGTCAGTGCTGTGTGCCATGACTGCTCACCAGTCAGGAAGCAGGTGCTGGGTACTAATGTCTGGTCACTGCCATGCCTTGGAAAACTGAGACGTCTTAGTGGCTTTGAGACTCTGCTTGTTCCATGTTCTCTCTGTTTCTAACTACTACCTATGTCCCTCCCCATTCCACCCACTGAGTGAGCAAAAGCAAATGAGTAGGACTTTTCATCGATTCAAGTGGAGTAGTGCCGGAAGGAAAAGGGGTGGGAGTAGAAGGCAGTGACAGCACTCGGATAAGGACTCCACAGCTCATTTCCAGATTGACTCAGCCTGTTCTCTGGCTGCCGCTCCAGCCTTGGCCACCAGATAGCACTGTTTTGTTTCCTGGAGTGCTGTGGGGCCTTCTGATATTTAGGTTCATCCTGTGCAGTGGCCAAAAGAAAGTAAATTAGTGAGTCTAGGCACCCTTTGATAGGATTGTCAGCAGTTTAAAGCCCAAGTCTTCCTAGGGGAGAAAATTCTGTGCATTGGACTGGTGACTTACCTTGTTGCAACAAAATACCTGACACAGGCAAATGAAGGTGTTATTCTGGATCACAGTGTGAGAGTATGGTCCACCATGGTGTGGAAGCCATGGCAGCAGTAGCTTGAGGCAGCTCGTCAGATTGCATTTGCAGCCAGGAAGCAGAGGGGAATACCAATGCTCAATCTAGAAAAACCACTAAGAGACATGCCCAAAGCTTTGTCTCCAAGTGATTCTCATTCTGTCACTGATAATATAAACCATCATAATCGTCTTTCCCAAATTCTATCTTTGAGTAGGCTTATGTACTGGGAGAACTACCATTTAGGTCATTGACTTTGGTCAGGCTGAGGTGTGCTCATGGTTCCCATTGTTCTTTTCCTACACCCATATTCACTGGAGAAAGCTTGAAGACAGCACTTACTGAGGGTCCAGAATTGCTAGGTCCTAAGGAAGTGATCACTTCCTCTTCGCTGAACAGCTTGTAGTATGAGCCTCAGCGAAGCCATTGTTGAGGATGTGTAACTTGAACTGGGATGGAGAACCTGTGTGGAATTTGAAGCCAGCTCCCAGCTGTCTTTTACTTCGTTTTGCTGTCGCGTCACGACAGTCACGCTTTTTGTTTGTTTGTTTTGAGACAGGATTTCTGACTGTCCTGGAACTCAGGTTGTAGTTCAGGTTGGCCTTGAACTCACAAAGATCTGCCTGCCTCTGCCTCCCAAGTGCTGAGATTAAAGGCTACCACTACCCAGAGACTACCACATTTTTAAAAAAGATTTATTTTTATGTGCTTTGCCTGCATGTATGTTTGTGTGAAGATGCTAGCTCCCCTGGAACTGGAGCCAAAGAGAGTTGCCATCTGAGTGCAGAGAGTTGAACTCCAGTTTTTTGGAAGAGCAACCAGTGCTCTAAATTGCTAAGTTATCTCTCCAAACCCAGCAACCATGCTTTTTTAAAGTTTTTATTGCTTTTGTGTGAGAACATGAGTGAGAGGGTCAGGACAACTTGGAGTTGGTTCTACCCTGTGGGTCCCAGGGATAGAACCCTGGTTGTCAGGCACAATGCTAAATCTCTACCCACTGAGTCATCCTGGCCCTTGTTGAGTTTTTAGAAAATAAAAAACAAAACAAAAAACTTCTGTAGCAAGTCTTACCAAACATGATTCTTAAGAGATTTACACACATTTAACCCTAACACAGAGGAGAATTACCCTTAAGTTTAATTTTATTTTATGTGTACGGGTGTTTTGCCTGCTAGAGTGTCTGTGCACCGTGTACATGCCTGGTGTTCAGGCAGGCCGGGAGAGGTGTCAGATCTCCTGGGACTGGAGCTCTAGACATCTGGTGCTGGGAACTGTACCTGTGTCCTGGAAGAGCAGTCAATGCACTTAGTCACCGAGCCATCTCTCCAGCTCCAGGGTGGGATTTTTTTTTTTTTAAGGTTTATTTTAAATCATGTGTTATTCGTTTCGGTCTGTGCCAGACAAGTCCGATCTGGAGCTGGAGTTCCAGGCAGCCGTGAGTCATCTGACATGGGTACTGAGAATGCAGCTCTACTCCCTGGAAGAGTAAATACATGCTCACTGCACCATCCCTCCAGGCCTGGGGAATCTTTTAACTGAGAATGTTTGCTGCCTGCGGGTGGTGCCTTCAGGAGCTAGAAAAGGGAGTGGAATCCCCTGCAGCTAGAAATGCCAGGCAGCTGGGAGCTGCCTAACGAGGGTGCTGGGGAATGCTGGGTCTCCTGGAAGAGCAGGGTGCATGCTTAACTACCGAGTCTTCTCTTCAGGATTAAAGATGGGATTTTGATGACAAAATTATGCCCCTAATTGTAAACTTTAGAGAATTTGAAGTGAGCGTGTCTTTGTTTCTTCTAAGTCTGCCAGACACTTGGATAGCACTCCAGTGTTCCAAAGGGGAAGGCCATCTCCAAAGAGAGTGCTTTTTTTTTTCTTTCTCGGGAAGATAATGGCTCTTTTCTTAGTCTGAACCAACAGTTGTCACACTTACCTTTCTCGTTTCTAATTTCAATCTAATGCAATGAGACCTGAGCAGCATGGGAGGTTGGAGAACGGTGGGTGTTTTCCAGACCTGAGGAAGTCCCAGGAATCTTCTAACACACAGCAACAGAGGGCAGCAGAGGATGGGGGTAGAGCTGAGTTACTTTCCTAGGACTTGGCTGTAGCTGGGCCCCCCGAGGAAAGGCACCTACACATCAGGACCTGTTTTGTACAGTGTTGCACCTCTCCAGGTTCTTAAGCTCATCAGACCTCTGTTTGGGAGGAGATTGGGTTGTAGAATTAAGACTAAAGCTCAGGGTTTGGATTTGTAACCCACCGAACGGTAGAAATCAGTTGGTAAACTCGTGATGATCCTTATGAGCCCAGCACATCGAGCAGCCTCCTGTATGCTCAGGGCTGTACACCTACATAGAGTCATGGACTCTTAGAGAACATGGGAAGCTCAAGGTTTAGCATCAGAGCGACTGTGCAAATAGGTCTTAGCTTCTTTTGGCATTTTGTTTTGTTTAAAACTGAATTTCTCTGTATGCGGTTCTGGCTATTCTGGAACTCACTGAGTAGGCCAAACTGGCCTTGAATTTAGAAACATCTGCTTGCCTCTACCTCCCGAGTGCTGGGATTACAGGTGTGTGCCACCATACCTGGCTCTTCTTGATTTCTTGCTGTATTCGACATCAAGAAACTTAATGAAGAAAAAAAAACCCAATGCTTTGATAAATCAAAAAATTGAATTGACATGAACTGTGTTACTGCCACACTATCTGTGTGACCTTGCTGAGGATGGGGAGCCTGACACACAAAATGAGACAGGTATGTAAGATCCTCAGGGGGTGCTGGCAGTGGCGGCACATGTCTATAAACCCAGGTACTTCAGAGGCTGGGGCAGGAAGATTGCAGTTTTGATCTTGCATTCTGCTACACATAGGAAGCAGCCTGAATTATCTAGAAAGACTCAAAAAAAAAAAAAAAAAAAAAAAAAAAACAGAAACCTTCCCAGGGACTTCTTGTTTTTATCTGCTTTTCTCTATATAAAGTTGGTCTGTTGTGGCCCCATGAGCACCATTTAGATCAGAGGCACTGACTACAAATTGTTTCAGTGCAGGTATCTTCTGAGTGGGTCCAGGCCCTGGCTCAGTAGTATGCTTTGATATTGAGACTGGGTGCCAACCCTCCAGATAATAGGAGTGGAGACGCATGGACACGGTCCCAGGAGCCTGCTCAGTACTGGTAAGGGAATGACAGGAACCCAGGTATATCTGGGGAAAGCTGAGGAAGAAGCATTTGAAATGGCATGTGTGGTGATACAAGATACAAGCTGGTGCAACACGTGGTTAGTGTGTGACTGGAGGAGTTGTGACTACTCTGCGTGTGTCACTCGTAATCGGAACTGTTTCCAGTGAGGTCCTTTCTGTTTTTCTGGTAAGGGGCTGGAGAGATGGCTCAGAGGTTAAGA